ATTACATATGAAAGGTTTCTTTGGAAATGTAACTTGTAGTTCTCCATGAATTAGCATCTGGATATTTTTTGGAGTTATAATTCTATCTTCAGCAAATCAAAAAAAAGGATGAGGAACACAATAAAGAAAAAAAGGAATACGGGCCACACAAGTCATTCATTTATGCCCATAAGGAAATTTGGCAGTTAAAGTGCAGATGCCAGCAATGGGGAAAGCAGAAATGACCCAAATTTAAAAAGTTGTAATAAGCTATTGAAAATTGAGTTAGAACCTCCACTGTAACCCTGTGAGACTGGGGTATGATCTGATATAATATATGTTCTTAACATCTACTAACATATGTCTCTGTGTGTGCCATGGCCAGAATATGTAGATATAGGAATTAAGGGATGGAAATAAGAATTGTTTCCCCTCACTACTAGAGCTACTCGCCAACTTGTTTTAATTCCTATCTCTGGAACTTGCTTCTGCTTGTTTAGAGAAAATAGTTTCCAAGTGAGAAATGCTTTCACCATAATACACAAAGGGTCCTTTACCCTAGAATTGAAGCCATTGGGTCATTTTTTTTCTCGTGTTACTGAGCCACCAGAATAAGAAATAATGGACTCTACTTTATCCAGCTGAGATAGTTTCTGATTCAAAATATTGGCAAGAGAGTTTGTGTTTGGAATAGAGAGAATTCTCTGTGGGGCCTTCCACATTGAATAGTAAATGTAGGGAAATCAGAGCCACCCAAAAAAAACAAGACCACTGAGGAACTTGACCTTGAAGGAATGAGGTTTGGATCATCCCATCAGGAAAAAATTTCAACCCACTGGAGGGCTGATTGAGGACAAAGACAACATCAATGAATAGTGGAAAACAGGAGTTTTGTATCTTACTTTGGCTTGGTAGTCAAATATACAAATAAATTCAAAATACTTTTTAACTACTTACTTATCTGTTATTTACTTGAAACTCAACTCTGGAAGTTATCAAATATATTCAAACTAGAGAAAATAATACAGTGAACACTATGCACCCACCACCCAGCTAAAGCAATATTTGTCCAATCTATTCCATCTATACTCCTAACATTTAACATTTCTCCCCAAAATGGATTTTAAGAAATCCAACACAACTTGACTTTTTATTTGTAGATAATTTATAAAATAATAATGTGTTTATCTCTAAAATATTTGTGCCCTTAATAGCAACACTATTCTTAAAATATAAAAATTAACATAAATTCCCCCCAATATAAATATCCATGTATTCAAATTTCTGAGTTTATAAATATTTTAAGATTAGAAACTCTTCTTGCTCTAGGATATTTTCTTTTAAATAGAACAAATGCACATTCTAATTGGTTGTTTCATTTTTTAAATGTTAATATACATTTTCTCCCCAATCTTTTTTTTCCCCTTGTACCTTTTGGTTGGAAAAAACTGGATTATATGTTTTAATGAGATTCTCCATTTTCCATTTTTCTGATTGCATCTTTATAGTGTTCTTTAATATGTTCTTTTTTTCTCTGAATTTCCAATGAACTTGTGTGAAGATCAAGTCTAGACTTAATTGTAGTGGTTTTGTTTGGAAGTAAGGATTATTTCAAAGGTGGTATTTCAAGCTTCTACGTTTCATCAGAATGGTTAAATGGCTATTTATTTTTGTGTGTGATCATTTTGGTTACAGATGACCATCATCTAGATTCATTTATTCAATTGTATGATTTTTTGCTTGTTATTTGGAATACTTATACAGAGAGAAACTTGTCTTTGTGTTTTAATAATTAATGAATATATTGAATAAGAAAAACAATGGAAATGCACAATTTTCCCCTAAGTACTACCAGATTTAAATATATTTAATTTTTTGTTACACAGGTTACTCCAGAGGCACCTGCACACTCATGTTTATTGCAGCGCTATTCACAATAGCCAAGTTATGGAAACAGCCAAGATGCCCCACCACTGACGAATGGATTAAGAAAATGTGGTATCTAAACACAATGGAATTTTATGCAGCCATGAAGAAGAACGAAATGTTATCATTCAGGTAAATGGATGGAATTGGAGAGCATCATCCTGAGTGAGGTTAGCCTGGCCCAAAAGACCAAAAATTGTATGTTCTCTCTCATATGCGGACATTAGATCAAGGGCAAACACAACAAGGGGATTGGACTTTGATCACATGATAAAGCGAGAGCACACAAGAGAGGTATGAGGATAGGTAAGACACCTAAAAAACTAGATAGTATTTGTTGCCCTCAACTTAGAGAAATTAAAGCAGATACCTTAAAAGCAACTGAGGCCAATAGGAGAAGGGGACCAGGAACTAGAGAAAAGTTTAGATCAAAAAGAATTAACCTAGAAGGTAATACACATGCACAGGAAATCAATGTGAGTCAACTCCCTGTATAGCTATCCTTATCTCAACCAGCAAAAACCCTTGGTCCTTCCTATTATTGCCTATACTCTCTCTACAACAAAATTAGAGATAAGGGCAAAATAGTTTCTGCTGGGTATTGAGGGGGTGGGGGGGAGAGGGAGGGGGCAGAGTGGGTGGTAAGGGAGGGGGTGGGGGCAGGGGGGAGAAATGACCCAAGCCTTGTATGCACATATGAATAAAATAAAAATTAAAAAAAAAGAAAAAAGAAAAACAGAAGCTGAAGGAGAAACAGTGGTATCAAGAAGCCTTAATCCGGGAGGCAATGACTGCAGGCAGGGCACAACAGGAGCATGACCGTAACTGAAATCAATGCTCAAAAGAACAGAGTGTTCCAAAGACCATTCTGACACCAAATCAAAAAACCCAAATAATAAAAAAATATATATATATATATTTAATTTGTAATTTAAAGTTATCCAAAGATGATCCCGTGATGTTTTATGGTGTTATTGTGAATTCATGAGATCTAACATTTCCTATGTTTCAACCAATCCAATTATTATTATTCACGTTTAAATTTTCCCTTATTTGGCTAACAGAAACTTGTTCACGTGGCCTCTGAGTCCTCATAGCATGAATTAGTTTTCAAGGTCTCCTAGGCTTTTGTTTTCTGTGACAACATCTTCCAGGCCCATCTAAAAATCTCCAGATCTAAGGTCAGTCACAAATAAAGGAGCCATGGTTTCTTTGTTCTTGGTATTTTCAGATCTCAGTTCAATGTTAGTCACACTCTTGCTATTTACCTGGTCCCTTTTCTAAACCTTTTCAATGGAGAAAGCTAAGCAACACACACACTTGAAACTAGAAAGCCATCCTTAACCTCAGTGACGATGTATTATATTTATTGTATCATAATATAGTTGATATTTAAAGCCAGTAAAGTAGACGAGGTTATTCAGGATGTAAATGTAGGTAAAACAAAGAAGATATTCTACAGACTGAAAACTAAACCAAATGACCACTGAGGTAGAAAAACCAAGGGGGTTGTTGCTCTGACACCTAAGTGAAGAAAATGGGAAAAAGAAAGGCCACAATCAAAGGTATATAATTCTGTAACTAGATAAAGTGAAGTCTAGAAATTCATCACTGGATTTATTAATGTGAACATCTTTGATTCACGTTTAAATTTTTCCCTTATTTGGCTAACAGAACTTGTTCACGTGGCCTCTGAGTCCTCATAGCATGAATTAGTTTTCAAGGTCTCCTAGGCTTTTTTTTCTGTGACAACATCTTCCAGGCCATCTAAAAATCTCCAGATCTAAGGTCAGTCACAAATAAAGGAGCATGGTTTCTTTGTTTCTTGGTATTTTCGATCTCAGTTCAATGTTAGTCACACTCTTGTATTTACCTGGTCCTTTCTAAAACTTTTCAATGGAGAAAGCTAAGCAACACACACACTTGAAACTAGAAAGCCATCCTTAACCTCAGTGAGATGTATTATATTATTATCATAATATAGTTGATATTTAAAGCCAGTAAAGTAGACGAGGTTATTCAGGATGTAAATGTCGGTAAAACAAAGAAGATATTCTACAGACTGAAAACTAAACCAATGAGCACTGAGGTAAGCAAAACAAGGGGGTTGTTGCTCTGACACCTAAGTGAAGAAAATGGGAAAAGAAGAGTTTAGTGGTCATAAATAAAAAGTAAGCCCAAGGGGCATTCTGGTGAATTGTTCTCCAACCATTTCAAACAGTGTGGCTACAAACATGGAAAGGAGAAAGCTGAATGCAGCCCTCTGAGGTTTGTGAAGAAAAAATAAGTAGAAAGACAGACAGGGGTATCAAGATGTACAGAATGATTAAAATGATTGCATGAAACAACTCAGGTAAGAAAGGAAATGAGAATAGCAGGGTTTGGGGTTGAAGTGTGACACCCCCCCCCCAAAGAAAAGAACAGGCTGTAGCTCTAATCCCTTGTATCTGTTAACATGACTTATTTGGAAATAGGGTCTTGCAGAATTGAGAAATTTGGGTGATTCTGGTGGCAAATTCACGTATTAATAGAAAACAAATGCAGGGAAATACTGCTCAAAATCCTCTAAAGTCATCCTCTTGCAAAAATAATTTATTAGACTTGTAGAATTTCTCAGTGCAAAGAAGGCTCTTTCCTTGGAATTAGGTAGAATAAATAACTGAATGTCAAAATTAGGTTATATTTTTCTATTTTCTTGACTCAGAATTGTGGATGTGAGCAACTGATTAGGACTCTTTGAGAACAAGATTTGCTCCTGACCTGACATATGCTCCTGTAGATTCTAGAATTCCCAAAGGGGAAAGGGAACCATACAGCAATTTAGCCCAAAAGCCTTTTTAAATTAACAAACAAAAACAAACAAACAAATAAAACACAAGATGTCCCTAAGGAATGGCTGTCTTTAAAACTGCTTGGAAGTAGAAGGAGGGATCTTTGTTACACACTTCCGTCCCTCCTCTGGCTTCTGTTCCCTCACCCTGCCCCCTGTGGAGTTGTGTTTTCTGGGAATCAGTAGGATCACAAGTGGTCTTTTCTTTTTTTCACTCTCTCCCATAAAGAAAGCTTTATCACGTGTGGCCTTAAACTTGCAGCAAATTGCAAAGAAATGGCTCAAAGACTTCAGTTCTTTCTGTACTCTGGGAGCTAAGATGCACGTCAGTGGCCTTGCCAGCATGGCCAATTCTTTCTGCAGACTGCCAGCAGAAAGAGACCAGTTAGGAAGCCAGAAGGAAAGAGATTGCCTAGGGGTGAGACCATAGCCTTCATCTGTCTTTTCTTTTCCCTGGTCTTCTCTGTCTGTGTCCACCCAGTCTCTCCTGACCTGGCAGAACTCCTTAGAACTGCTGTGGAATTTACCTCAGTTTCCTCTTTCAGTCTGAGCCCTGTGGTCCAGCCTCCAACTGAGCACACTGAGAGGAACTGGCTGTCTTTGATCTCACCTCCAGGTAAGATTTGGTACTTTTCTTTTGAATTTTTGTGAGTATTAACAACAGATTCTCCCAGGAAATATCTTACTAAATTTCTTCAAAACTTGTGATTTACCTATGACCCTTCTCAAACAAAGTTGCTGAGCCCCTTCTTTGTTTGGTGAAATAGAAGAAGAGACTGGTTAAAGAAGTCAAATTGGGTTCCCAAATTTTGGTTCCAATTCTGGCTTTGATTCTTAGTTAGGTAGCTTTGTCAAGTCACTCAACTGCTCTGAGTCATGTTGTTTTAGAAATTGGGATTATAGTCCTAAATTTGTTGGGTTGTTGTAACGATTGCAGGAAGCACACATATCAGCTGGCAAAAAGTAGTACTTATTAAACCTGAATCTGACACTAATGATTGCTTGTGTGTGTGTGTGTGTGTGTGGTGTGTGCACGGGGGGGTGGATCAGCTTTCCGAAGGTACACGCGCTCCTCTCTACAGGGACTATGAGGTCATTTAGACCCGTAGAGGGGAAATATCCTAAAGCCTAGAATCTAAGCTGTGCCAAGCTTTCCCTTCTGCAATGGCTGTGAGAAGAGAGGAAAGGAGGAGAGTGGCTGCTGACCTTCTCTGTGACTGTCCTGCTGGAGAGCAGGACACTATCTCCAGAACACAGTGGGATCTATGTGATCCAACCACCACCTTTCTCAGCCCCTTGTGCTCTAAGTTTAGACTGGAGGATTGATTTTTCAAGCCCATGTGAGCAGAGAATTCCATTTTTTTTTCAAACTAAAATGAAAATCTAATTGGCTTGACTTATTTTGGCTTTTAGAATAAGTTATACACCAAGCCAGGGTGTTTGTTGTATGAAAACTTGGCCATATGCTTTTTCCTGGAAGAATCTATTCCAATGGCCTGAGATCAATTGATGTAATTAATCAATTGATCAAAGGTAAATCCTTCTAAATATCTGTGTGCTCTGAGTCCATTTCCACAAGCGCAAAAGAGGAGAGTGCTCACAGAGTTTTCTCCATGATCCTGGGAACACAGTGTACTTACAAGGACTTGCAAATAAGTCATCAAGGCGAAATTATGTTTTAGCAAAACTGTGTAGCCTTTTAAGCTGTATATTATTTTGTCCTAATACAACATTAACTGAGGTCAACATGATTCTCTTTTGTTATTACTTCTGGATTTCTATGAGAATCATTTGTGTGTGGGTACCTACAAACCTAAGAAGACAATGTGATACAGTGTCCCAATCTCCCAAGTGTTATTTTTATATTTTTTCTCTTTTTAGCATTAGTATTCTAGAGTTAACCCTTTAGATATTTTAGAGATAAATTTAGTTGACGTGCTAGTATAGGTTTTTATTAAGCATTTGTTATTTTCATTTTTTGGTCTCTAGCTTTAATATTATGACCAACAGGAAATAATATATCTGACCCCTAAAACAGGAGACCAATTTGAATTTGATAGTGTCATTCTTAGAATAGGATTACTTTTTAAACTCTGAATTTAATATTGTTCACTTTGTATTTTAAAATCTTTCTGGTTTATATATTTCTCATGTGGTGATATTTTTATATTTTTAATGTTGTAAAATATATTTTTCATACAAGCAATGAATGTTCATTGTAGAAATATTTAAAAATATAGATACACAAAACACTTAAATTTTAATCTGAAATGCTACAAACCAGAGATAATGAGTTAACCTTTACATATACATATGTGACTGACTATTTGTGTATTTCTTTTATAAAATAGTTTGCTACATGTACTGTTTGGTAAGATACATTTTAAAATCAGCTCTGTAAATGAATTTAGACATATCTAACTATATTTACTTCTTTATACTCATCTCAAGTGACTTCGAAGATTCATTGCAAGAATATACCATAATTCGTTGGACATTTAGATCATTTGGTTGTTTTGAAGTTTTTCATTATAAACAATGAGTGGTGGAGGACAGAGAGGGCAGGTTGGTGCCGGCCTGTCTTTTCAGTGTGATATGTCAAAGATGCAAGAATGACTCATGGACTGAGGAGATGTTTATAGGATAGTCAAAGCTGTCTTGTCTTGAAGGGATCAAGCCCAGGTTGGCTGGAGGATGAGAGTGGCCCTGGCAGAAAAACTTGAGAAGTTCCTGCAACTGGAGGGAACTGGGGGGAAAAAAGTCAGCATTGGGATGTTTGACCACATATTCTTATCATCGTGTTACTGTCACATCAGAGCCCTCTCTTCCTGATAGTCCAAAACCTGTTGGACCTTCCAAATAACACCGGGATGGTCCTGAGGAGGTGGAGAGAATAATGGGACTAGAAATTTTTGACTTAGAAAAAAAAAACAAAAAACTAAAACCAATAAATCTCTAGGAATTTTGTAGGAAAGACACTTATTTAACATTGTATACCCCAATCAGTGTTTCTCAAACACCCTTTTTATACTTCTGACAAAACATTGTTCTGAAGAGTCTTAGTGATTTGTGAGTGAATCAAGTTGGCATCAGATAAGGGTAAGCACAGATATCTACGTTCTTAACTTGTTAGGAGTTGTTTTTGTTTTTTAGACAAAAGGTGTTGAATCTTATCACCTGATATTTTACAACCTCTGAAATTTTTTTATTTTAAATTTTTGATTCTTCATGTGTAATTTAGGTAGATAAAATTGCCAGTATTAGTCAGTTATTACATTTAAAAAATAATCCTGATTATAAAATATTAGTAATTAATTTGGATTTGATAGTATCTTATTTAGGAGTTTATAACTTTTGTAAGCTTGTTGGAAAGTTTTCCTTTTGTGCTGTCTTTAAGAGATTTCATTAGCAAGATTTTATTATAAAAGACTCATTATCAAATGAGTGCAGATAATAATTATCTCTTTCATTATCTTCTTTATTTGGGGTGAGACTGGGATTTGAACTCAGGGCTTTGCACTTGCAAAGCAGATGCTCTATTGCTTGAGCTATACCACTAGTCCTCCATTATCTGCTTTCTTTCCATGAAGGAGATCCCTTGATAAAACAAACCTGTTACTTCATCTATCCTTAGTGTCTTTTCTTAGGGCATAGTTTTAGAATTCTCTTCAAGTTTGTTAAAATACAGGTAATTAATATTTACTGGAAACTTACCCATTTCCTCAAAATTTTGCAACTTTCGCTAGCTCTCATTTCTAACTTTTCTTTTATACTCCTAAACATCTGAACTTTATTTTCATTAATATTGATCCCTGTGTCTTTATCTTTTGAGCTTGGTTAGCATTATCAACCCTTTGTTTAGTTTAGTTTTTTGGTTTAAAACATTTTTATTTCACTCACTTTTTCCTTTATCCATTTTTATAAATTACAAATGACGTATGTTTATGAAACCAAATAATCTATGTCTAATCATGATTTTTTAAAACCAAGCTCCTACCCCGCCCTTTCTCCACTCATTTCCCATTCCAGGTGGGAAGGAGTGAAAGAATGTATTCAACTTTTAAATCATTTGGGTCTTCTAATGTTACTTTCATATTTGAAAATGAATTTTATACTACAGCTACCTGATTTTTTCCATTCAAGATGCTGTCTATGAATTAAATGATGAATGTTTAGAATACAGAGGCAGCATTGATTAAAGCCAAGATCATATACACATAGACCAGCCTAAGCTCCTACCACAACATAAGATTTTACTCCAAATGTCATTTCTTTAGTGTAATGAGGGTATGGGAGACCTATATTCCTGTTTGGTTGTGTTAGCTAGGAATCTTTAGGGAAATCCAGAAGTTAGTTTTTGAATCCTTTGGCGGATTAGTTTATCAGAAAGGCACTGAACCATATGGGGTCCTGAAGAGGTGGGGGCACTGGATGTGTAAGTACTAGTGTGAACAGAGAGAAATAGGCTCCGCCAAGGGTTTGGTCAGGATAAAGGAGTGAGGGGGTGTGTGGAAATTAAATTTTTCTGGAAGGCAGACCAGACTCAAGCCTGTGCTTCCGTGTGAATTAAATCTAAGCCTGAGGCATAAATCATTCTTCTTTCCTATCTGTCACACTAAAGTGACGCACAAATTGGACCTCTTCATTTTTGCAACATTTTAAGCCTGACTTTGGATGCTGCGGGAAACACAAGGTGCTTAGGAATCTGTGATAGGTGTCAAGCTCTTCTATTCGTCTGTGAAGACAGTAGATGTAAAGGCTTGCAAGACTTAATTCTAATGAACCAATATTCAAATGGTTGAATTCCTCTTCCTCCTTTCCGGCTTGATCCTAGTTTAATCTGGCAAGACCACAAAGTTAGCAAAATTCTGCCTTGTTATTTATTCCAAAGGCAACATTTAAATTTATTCTCTGCTGTAATGAGGCTTAAAGTGCAGGGACTGAGAAAGAATGCTGGCTGCAGAGCACAATAGCAGGATTACTTAATTAAATATCCTGTTTGATTTTAATTGAAAAGATTTGCCAACTTACTGTGGCAACAAGAGGTAGCTTCACTTTAAATAATGCCTATAGAATTGATGTCTACTGAGAAATAAAAATATCCTTGAACTTCGTAGAGTTGAATTAATTCTTTTTAACTTTCAAAATCAACTTTGACAGATCAAAGCCAACAAACATTTTCATAATGGACACTTCTTCCAAAGAAAATATCCAGTTCTGCAAAAATTCAGTGCAACCTGTTGGAAAGTCTTCCTTTAAAGCGGAATATCCCTCTTTAGAGGAAAAGCAACCATGCTGTGGTAACCTAAAGGTAGAGTAACACAGAAGCAGGTGGGGTTGTTATGATTGGCTTTCCATGTAAGAAATGAGAATTGCGTTTCTTTCTAAAAAGTGATTTTGCATGCAATTTACTAAAAGCACATGGAATCAGGCAGTGGAAGCAATCTTTTTGTGACCATGGGGGTTAGAATAGCCCTCCTATACAGGAAGGGGGAGATAGTAGGAACTAATATTAATGAGACTTCTACCATGTAGCACATACTGTACCAAAGACAGATGTACCACTTCATCTATGAAACGTATACATTATTCCCAGTATTTAAAAAGAAAATTGGGCTTTCATTGTTACATTAAGGGACTGGGCTGCATTTTAAATGATGCTCTCTATGACTCAAACCTTCTTGATGCAAAATATTCACTCAGCAAATATGTATGTGTTTTTTTCATATAAATGTTAACCTGATTATTCATGGACACTACATCACCTGCTTTCACCAGAATACATGAGCCAGATATCAGAATTCTTTCCACCGAGAAAGAATTGAAGAATGAATTTAACAAGAAGGAGCTTCACCAGTGAGAATGGTAGTTTCATTTTTCAGTCAATTGTGTTCCTTGCTAGTACATACACATCTCTATAAAGCACAAAATGAACACCGTTAGACTTATGATGTGAGGTCAAGGGTTTAGCTTATGGTTTTCATTTTCTTACCTATCAAAGGATCCATCCTTTCTTGGCCTCACCATACACTGGAGTGGGAAAGAAAGGAAAAAATGGAACTGAACATTCATTTTGTATGAAAATTGGTATACATTTCAACTTCCAATAGAATTTACATTTTTTTAGAAATCCAACAATACATCAGACAAAGGACTGATAACCAGAATATATAGGGAACTTAAAAAACTAAATTCTCCCAAAACTAATGAACCAATAAAGAAATGGGCAAGTGAACTAAACAGAACTTTCTCAAAAGAAGAAATTCAAATGGCCAAAAAACACATGAAAAACTGCTCACCACCTCTAGCAATAAAGGAAATGCAAATTAAAACCATGCTAAGATTCCACCTCACCCCTGTTAGAATAGCCATCATCAGCAACACCACCAACGACAGGTGTTGGTGAGGATGCGGGAAAAAAGGAACCCTCTTACACTGTTGGTGGGAATGTAGACTAGTACAACCACTCTGGAAAAAAATTTGGAGGCTTCTTAAAAAGCTGGACATTGATCTACCATTTGATCCAGCAATTCCAGCAATACCACTCTTGGGGATATACCCAAAAGACTTGTACTCCAGAGGCACTGCACACCCATGCTTTACTGCAGCACTATTCACAATAGCCAAGTTATGGACAGCCCAACCAAGATGCCGTCAGCACTGATGAAATGGATAAGAAAATGTTGGTATCTATACACAAATGGAATTTTATGCAGCCATGAAGAAGAACGAAATGTTATCATTCGCTGGTAAATGGATGGAATTGGAGAACATCATTCTGAGTGAGGTTAGCCTGGCCCCAAAAGACCAAAAATCGTAATGTTCTCCCTCATATGTGGACATTAGATCAAGGGCAAACACAACAAGGGGATTGGACTATTTGAGCACATGATAAAAGCGAGAGCACACAAGGGAGGGGTGAGGATAGGTAAGACACCTAAAAAATTAGCTAGGCATTTGTTGCCCTTAACGCAGAGAAACTAAAGCAGATACCTTAAAGCAACTGAGGCCAATAGGAAAAGGACCAGGAACAGAGAAAAGGTGTAGATCAAAAAGAATTAACCTAGAAGGTAACACCACGCACAGGAAATCAATGTGAGTTCAATCCCTGTATAAGCTATCCTTATCTCAACAGCAAAAACCCTTGTTCCTTCCTATTATTGCTTATACTCTCTCTACAACAAAATTAGAAATAAGGGCAAAATATTTTCTGCTGGTATTGAGGGGTGGGGGGAAGAGGGAGGGGGCGGAGTGGGGTGTAAGTGTAAGGGAGGGTGGTGGGGCAGGGGGAGAAATGACCCAAGCCTTGTATGCACATAATGAATAATAAAAGAAAAAAATAAATAAATAAATTAAAAGAAGAAATCCCCATAAGGTTGAGGTTGACTAACCCAGTAACAGTTAACAATTAAGTCTTCATTGATAAGAAACTCAGTGGCTTAAGGCTGTGTCTTGTTTGTTCGCTTAGTGTGTTTCCAAGCTGTTTGACAAGCAGTCTGGAGTTAGACTAGATGTGTGACCTACCTGTCATATTTTCCAGGTATTCTTGGGTGCATTGTCTTTCGTTTACTTTGCCAAAGCGTTGGCAGAAGGCTATCTGAAGAGCACCATCACTCAGATAGAGAGAAGGTTTGATATCCCTTCCTCACTGGTGGGAGTAATTGATGGTAGTTTTGAAATTGGTAGGTAACGGTGATGCTGACTTTACTTCTGAGCCCAAAGTCTTTTGAGGCATGGCTAAGTGACATCCTATCTCCGTTCTGTTGTCTTCTGGGACCCAACATATACAGTCTTGTGTGGACATAACTTGCCATGGTTTTATGCTACATGAAGGCAATTTGTGCTCTCAAAGCAACAATAAGTTTCCTGTCCTGAATGTTCACAGCTATGTGACTTGCATAGTTCAGTTTATAACCAGAGTGAGAGACGCCTAGAGGAGAGGGTGAGAGGCTGGAATTTTGAGGTACAAGTATATAGAAAGTGTCTTTATAGAAGAGCAATAGATCTTGGGAGTCCTATGATTTGATTTTAGAAGTTTGGAAGAATACAAACATTTATTGCAACGATTTAAGAATTAATCTTTGTAGGCCATTCGACAGACGCAAAAAGGGATGTATGAACAAGAACTCTAGATCAGAACAGAAAATAAAATTTCTGCTCTCAGGTATCTTTGGTTAACAATTGGTTATGGACTCCATCTTAGAACTTGAAAAGATCCATGATTTTAACTATTTTTTTGAACATAATTTAACCGAGTTACATGTCTCTTAGTCTCAACTTCTTTGCATTGAATCCAAAACGAGAAGCATTAATCCTTTTTCAAACTAAACTAAACAGTCCCCTCTGTGGTCCTTAAGGTCATTTGGGGCTCAAATATAACTTGCTGTACAATCTAATTGCTTCAATTTCAATTTTACCTGATGAACTTCCAGAAGAGTAAAGGAACATTTTTAAACTCTTCAATAAGAAATTAATTTTTTTTTTTAGTTTGCAATATTGATTTCAGAGTTGGTACTCTGAATGTCATAGAAAGGATAGAAGCAATGAACGGGCAAACTTTCTATTCAGGTTTTCACTTCCCAAATCCATCTTATATCATCTTACCCAAAGAAGGTTTCTAAGTAAGTGCCAATCAAACTTTCATGTTGAAATGCAGGTGCTGATTCTATGGGGAGGCAAAAAGAGTCTGTTTCTAGTAATTCCCGGGTGATGCCTATGTTGACAGTCTGTGTATAGCAAAGCTCTAAATCTGATCACATCATTACCTTCAAACCTCCTTAGATAGGCATGAACAATTGATTTACTTCTTGATACCTTCCCTACTGCTGACCCTGACTGAATGATAGGTAGAAAGTCAAGATTGGGGTGACATTCTCCATCATGAGAGGAAACAAGTGAGAAAAGGCATTTGTGACACACTGAATGAGCCTGACTTATCTAAAGAAGCAGATATGAGTAGAAAAATCATTATATACCAAATGATTCTTTCATGTTTTTTTTTCCTTTAGGGTTTTTTGTTTGAGTGGTCCAGGCAATTGAACTCAGGGCCTCCTGCTTGTTAGGCAGGCACTCTACCACTTGAGCCTCACCTCCAGTCTTTTTCCTTTTTGTCCTTTTGGACCCCCCCAATACACATAGGGTCTCCTCCTAACATATGCTTCAATTGGCCTTCAACCACAATTCTCTGATCTCTACATATAGATTAGCTGGAATTATACCTGTGACCCATCATGCCCAGCTCACTCTAGATTTGTATATAAAAATGTTTTGGAACCGAAGACACTTAGAAATGATGTAGTTTAAACTATTTCTATGACCTTGAGGATACGGAACTTGAGCAATTGTGAGTGCATATTTGATAGAGTGTTCTAAATTTTCATTGAATGTGTCAAGGGATTCTGATACCACATTCATATTAATCATCCAGACTAATTTAAGGATAGATATTATTGGGCTACATGCTTTTAAAGGTCTATTACTTCAAATGAATTTTTATCTCAAACATCACACTTTTCAATGTTGTTATAATTTTCTCTATAAAAGTATTACTACTATTTCATGTATTAGATTTAGGCTTACATATTTAAAGTTTTTCTTACTGTTATAGAAAAGTTTTTTCATTTTTATTTGATAATTCCTAGACTATAAGAACAGTATTTATTCCAAAATGTTGTCTGTATGCACAAATTTATTTAAACTGTTAATTTTAATTGATTGTTCATAGAAACTATAGAATTTTCTGAAGCAGACAATCACACTGTCTGAAACAGGAGACAGTTTTATATCTTTCTTTCCAATTCCTAAATCTGTTGCTTTTTTTGTTCTTATCTTATTGCATTGGCTCCCGACATAAAAGGTGAAAGTGGACACCCTTTTCTTGTATCTGATTTTAAACATTTCACTATTCAGCAATATACTTGCTGCATGGTTTTTAAAGTCATATTTTGAAGGTTATCTTGTCACGGATCGAGTGCGTGCATATTTGTTAGGCATGACATAGATCTTCCTCCATCACTTACATAGTGATTTAATCAATACATTTGTTCATATTTGGCCATAATCACACTCCTAGAATAAACTGTGCTTGCTCAGCTTACATTTATTTTTATACACTACTCAGTTCACTAATACTTTATGCTCAGAATTTTGTACTTATCTTCACAATTTAGTGTAGGCTACAATTGTCTTTTCTTGTACTGTCCTTGTCCAGTTTTGGTATCAACAGTCTTATATCATGGCTTCAGCAGCTTTCTTTCCTTTCTATGATTTGAAATTTTAAATGTGTTTGCAGAGAAAGAGGGAGATTCTTTGAAGTTTGATAAAACATTTATGAAGCTCTCTGGGTCTGTAGTCTTTTTTCAGAGGCTGGTGGTGAAAGAATTTTTGTATCCAAGTTAATTTTTTAAAAGTTATGCCTCACTATTTATTTCCCAAGTGTGATGTCCTGAAACCTCAGAAATGACATTAAGTAAAGCAAGCAAAAGTATCTGTAGCTATCACAGAAGCTGAAATGGTTTTATCTTATATTTGGCACAGAAACAGAAACGGGCTACAAGCCTTGGGTCCTCTACTGTGAGGTGTTGGTGGGGGGTGAGCAGGAAGAGAGGATTGCTTATAGACTGAAAGTCAGCCTTCACTTTATCTTGGCTTATTTACTGCACCACAGTAATAAATACAGACATAATTATCTGTATAGTACAGTATGAAAGATCTCCTACTAAGAATGTAAATGGGAAATATCCTGCTCTAGTCTTTAAAAATCTGAATATCATAAACAGCCTAATTCTTCCTGGACCTATAAAACATAGACCCACTGTTTAAGCTACTTTTCACACTGTCATCATTACTATCCTCAAGGATATAGAATTTACTGTTCTTTTTCCAGTTGACTAAAGCTGGCGATGTGACTAAACAGTAGTAAATTAGATGATTGCTAGCAGATGGCAGGAAACACACTCTTGATGGAAAACTGGACATAGAGAGGGGAACTTCACAGCAAGAGCACTCTTCGGCCATCACAGTCAATTGCTAGGTTTTTACTCTACTAGCACTGCAATTCTTAAAAACTAAATAACCCCACAAAAATAACTGATACTTTAAAGCTCCTTCAAAACTTTAGCCCATATGTTACAGGAACCATCCCCATGGATACATGAGCTCCCACAGGAAATGCAAATTTCTTGGCTTGCCCCTGTTCCCTGGAACCACTGACAGTTTGGACCTGCCAAGAATCTGCATTAACGAGTTTGCATTTTCCTCAGAACTTCCTCCTACTATTTCCTATTCACAGCAAAACATGAGAAATCTCCCCAAATGCATGTGTAATCAGTTCTCACCATTATCAACTAAAAAGTAATTTACCTCACGCTGTATCAGAGATATTTTATTAAGGTGTAATTCCAACCTAAAAACCCATATTTTTTCAAAAAAAAAAAAAAAAGCATGTTTCAGCATGGTGATGCATGCTTGCAGTTCCATGTATTTGAGAGACAGAGGTAGGAGGATCACAGTTTGAGGCCAGACTTGGGTAAAAGGCTGAGACCCTATCTGAAAAATAAAGCAAAAAGGGCTGGGGGCATGGCTCAAGTGGTAGAACACTTGAAGCCCTGAGTTCAAATCCTATTATCACCAAAAAAAATCATTTTTTGTGGAAATTTTGCCTTTGATAACATTTGTACATTGAGGTACCTAGTTGATAGATTCTTGAAGTTATCTATGTGGAGCAATTTTTATTTATTTCCATTCTGATTCTTTTTGTGAAAAATATGCAAGTAGATTATAAAGTGTCATTTGTGTAAGTATGAGTTTCAAGAATTTATTTCATTAAAGTGAGGAATAGTTATGTTTTTTACTTTTCCTATAGGGAATATCATCTAGAAAGAGAAAATGTAATGCATATTTTAAGAACAATTGAGAAGCTAATAGAATTTTTAATAGAAAATCTAAGTAAGGGAAGGAGCAGTAATAAAGTGTACTTCAGAATCACCAAGGAAAATGTAAGAGATCAGTTAAAGGAACCCTTCTGCAATTTAATTTACTGTAATCCTTGGTCTCTGCCAGTCTGTACCCCATTGAGGAAATACCACATGTGCTCAGGACACAGAGTTCAGCTCTGCACTGCAGATACTAGATTCATTTTTTTCCACCATGCTGCCCAAATTCCACTGAAGACATGCCTACTTTCAGTAAATCTAAAATTCTCACTTTATCATTTACCTTAAGTTTTGGGCAGCATTTGATTTTTGGGAGACAAAGGGCAGTAAAACACTCAGCGATCATACAATGATTTAAACACAGCTGAGCATCAGAGGGGCCTGACTGAGAGCTTCTCTGCTCTACTGAGCTGCAGAATGTGTGTGCAGAAATTTAAAAACTTTTGCTTTTGAAATCCCTCTTGATTTTTATTTATTTATGTATGTATTTATTAATAGTTTATTATTTTATTACAGGTGCTTGGTCAAAAGCACCTGTAATAAACCCGTGAATAAACGGGCTTAATGTACTTTCAAAGGAAACATAATTGGATTGAGTGAAACAAGAAAAAGTGATGTCAATTAAAGTATTTTGACAAAAATGATGAGGTGACTGAGGTCATGAGTATAAGGACAATCTCAACAGTCATCTCAGATGAAAGGAAAGAGGTAAATGGTGTGGGAAAAGGTTGGGATAGGATTTAGTCAAAATGAAACATGGTTTAACCTGCTATGGACTTTGGTTCATTTAATTGTCCTGTTGACTCTTGTCTAAGTTTTCTAACTTAAGAATTCTTTATTCTTTCCCCCAAAGGGAATCTCTTGATTATAACATTTGTTAGCTACTTTGGAGCCAAACTTCACAGGCCAAAAATAATTGGAGCAGGGTGCCTGGTCATGGGAGTGGGGACACTGTTCATTGCGCTGCCCCAATTTTTCATGGACCGGTAAGTCTAAAGCATCTTTTCCTAGCCTCGCCCATAGCTGCATTTCTCCATTTTATTCTTAAATTCAGCATTTAAATTGACCCTTAATCCATGATAATTTTATGCTTATTATATTTGTTTTGGAGAAAATTTCAGAATAATTTTATGATTTGACTAGTGATAGTAATCTATAAAAATGATGATCTTGTTAATGTGTGTGTCGATGTCAACAAGATTAAAAAATATTCATATAGTTTGATTCAAATGCTTTCACTCAGCTGTGGAGGCAAAATATTTACATGAAAAGAAATTAACATTTGGCAAATGTCAAATGGGTCGTGAGTGACTGCTACAGACCATAAATGTTAGATTATATTACTCAATATTTCTAAACCTCAATGTCTATGTCTTAATGTAGGTATTAAGAATAATACCTAATGTTTTTGCAAATAGTAAATAAGAAAAAATGCTTTTCAAGATTCCTGACCTAAGTAGCAGCTGTGTTATTATTATTGTGTATTCTTATTAATCTTCCTTAGTTAATCAAGCAGTGTGTTTTAATCAATAATTAGCAATGGCTTTGCCTTAAAGGTGTTATATTCAGATTAATAATTTTATTACCTGAGGTTAATGTGAAATATAGGATATCAGTACAAAACATCTGAGGGAGACAGCCAGCCAGGCTAACGCTGATAAAGGATCCAAAGATATAAAGACTTAGACACTCAAACACCAACTTGTATAAACTGCAGGATGTATTTGTTTATTCATTATTTGGTATCTGCTACTTGTCAGGTACTATTGGAGATAATATCCAATATATGTGTATTTACATATATATATAATATATATACATAGGCACAAATATATGGGATATATACGGTGTAAACTTTTTATTCACTTAATGTATGTATTTTATTGAATTACATTTAATTAAATTAAATTACAGTTTTAAGTAGCTGCATGGTAATTTCTGGATGTACTTTAATTGTCTTATAAATTATTGAAACTTCTTTAAAACTGCTCTTTTAAAGATCATACCATCTTACAGGAAGTTAAATTATTGTTAGTTAGAGTTATCTATTTGGAAAGTTTGGTAAATTATAAAGGTGTGGTGATTTCTAAGGTGTGTTTCTGCAACCTGTTGCTGTTTTATTAGTGTATATTACCTGCACAAAGGGGCTCCATAGTGGTATTTCCATAAATGAATATACTGGACTTTGATTAAATGCACCCTCTCTATTAGTCTTTCCTATCTTCCCTCCTTAAGGTCTTTAAAGGCTCAAACTGACTACTGCTTGGAAAGTTGGCTCTGGTGGACAGTTGGAAGCGAGGAGTGGAATAGGTTAATGTAGGATTTCATGCACTTAGTCAGAATTTGAGTGTGGGTCAGGACTGAAGCCCAAATTTAAAAGCATTTGCACTTTTGGACCCCTCTTCCATCACTTCTTTGTCTCATCATCCAGTGAAGCCTCAGTAGACACAGGCCACATCAACAACACTTATTTTACAAAAGAAGTTAATTTTTTTGGTTGTCATAGATACTAGTAAGGAAAGTGGTACTTATGTAAGAGTCCATTTATTTACCATGATTTCAACGATAAATGCTTTCCTGCATAGTTAGGAATTGAAAACAGTTATCTTCTGTAAGTGCCTCTTGACCTATTTTGATTATATAGCCTAGCATGCAGGAGACCCTAGGTTCTATCCCCAGCACCGGAAAGCAAACAAACAAAACTGTGAACCTCTTCCCTCAAATATTCATATAAAAACATGCCCGCAAAGATCTTCTTACTTTTCAGTGAAGTCCATGAACCTACTGGTGAATAGATGCCAAACAAATATAAAATACTCTGCTCAGCAACTGATGCTTTAACTCAGTATATCTTTTCCTCGCTATGCTGAATAAACAGGTTTTGTCATTAGTATCTTACCTGCATTACTGGGATTATTAGCCTTTAGTTACAAAGTAGCTGTACAGATTGAGAATCCAGATAGTGTCCTGATGTCTTTTTGCTATGTACCTCTTTCCTGAGGATGAAAATGCAGCAGAGGTCCTGGCTTATAAGGGACAAGTAGAATGGTGGGGCTGGGAGGTTACAAACAGCATGACCATAGTTCTACCATTAAGCACTGGCGCTTGGACCCTGGGGCCATCATAACCCTAGAAACACGGGAAAGAGGGCTGGACATAGTGGCTTGTGCCTATAGTCTCAGCTGTTTATCAAGGTAGGTGCTCTTACTGCTTGAGCCATTTCACAAATCCAATCCCAATTACTTGGGAGAAGAGATGGGGAGATCTCAGTTTGCTCTTTGAGGGCAGCTTGGGCAAAACATAGTGAGATCCTAGCTTAAACAAACTAGTGTGGTACAGTGCTTGCTTAGCAAGCATGAAACCCTGAGTTTAATCCCCAGTACAAAAAAGAGAGAGAGAGGGAAAGGGAAGGAAGGAAGGAAGGAAGGAAGGAAGGAAGGAAGGAAGGAAGGAAGGAAGGAAGGAAAGAAGGAAGAAAGAAAGAAATAAATTAAGGAAAGGGTAGAATCAAAAATAACTTGCAGCCAGATTAATACCTATATTCCAAAAAAAAAAGGAGGATGCCATCTAGATAAATTTCTCAAAAGACCATGTACTCATTGTCTAGACTCAGCCTTCTAGTGTTATTAAATTTACAACTACAGTAAGCTGCAAGGCATCGGTGGCTCATGCCTGTAATTCTAGCTACTCAGGAGGCAGAGATCAAAAGGATCAAGGTTCAAAACTAGTGCAGGCAAACAGTTCACCAGACCATATCTTGAAAAAACCTATCACAAAAAAAGGACTGGTTGAGTAGCTCAAGGTGTAGGCCCTAAGTTTAAACCCTAGTACTGTAATCCATAAATAAATAAATTACAGTGTACTAATGAGCATAAGCTATTACTGATTTTTCTCTGCCTCAGAGCTAGTCATGATTTTTAACAGGAGTTGGTAATTTTTCACTAAGGGAATAGGTGATTTATAGACATTATCATATATTAAAATGAGCCCCTAGGACTAATTCTTGCTGTTGTGTTCTATGAAGCGGACTTCTCTGTAGTAAGCTGTTGTTATGTGCTGGTTTGCTTGGTGATTCACATTCAGAGATAGCTACAAACTCAACCAGATCAGCTAGTGAGCCGTGCAGACTGCATGTTTTTAGCCTGGTGTTAAGTGAGTCTATCGTGAGGAAAACATTCTGTTTCAACAGGTACAGGTATGAGAAGGATTCATCCTTCTCCAGTTCTACTCTCAGCATCTCCCCGTGTATCCTACAGCCAAGAACTCAATTACCAATCTCAGATGTGGAAAGGCCGCAAACCAAATTAAGTGATGGTGAGATGATTTTCTCTGTTTGACTTGACTAAGAAAACTTTATTTTAACCTTCACATATGCTTTCAGTACGGACAAAAGTATGATTTTTACCCTCAAGAGTTTTATTATTTAAATGGAGATATTGTAGTACCATAAAAATTCCACGAATCTAAAGCAATATATGATGAGTTCCTAAGAAAGTGTACAGATGATCAGCTCTTGCAGAAAAGAACATTAGGATGACCAGGAAAATCATCCAGTGATTCCAAATAAGATGGCCTTCATAATGTTGAGTAAAACTAATTTAACACGCAGAAATCTCAGTGCATTGCCTGGATATGAGCAAAATATAATTTTCCTCCTAATTACTTTATGTCCAACTCCTTTCCATCAGAATGGCTAAAACTCAATCTCAGTTTGTTCCTGACCACCATGCGTTTTCTCAGGAGTTGCTTACATTCCAGGGAGCTTATATAATAGTTAAGGGTCAGTTGTAGCAGGGGGCTCCTGGCATTAACAGTCCCCTGTCATCTGGTCCCTGTGTTTGCTCACTCAAAGGGTTGAGAGGATTCAATTTTCAAATGCCTGAAAACCAGTTAACCCACACAGACACGGAGGCAGCTTGCAGATGTGGGCATTACTAGAGACAGTGAACATCAATTTGCTAGAAAGGCTAAACTCTGTAAACTTATTTTTCACTTATGATACAAAGGTGATTATCCTATATTACATGGCCTTATTATGACATGGCACATGAAAAAATATTTAAAATTGTTAGCTTTGAATTGTACTCTAAAGATATCCCCAAAAGTTCTTTTGGCTGGAAGTTATTCTGTTAAAGAATTTATTGCATAAAATTTTTATATGAATGTTTTCTACAGTCCTAAAAATGGTTAATCACTAACAAAGAAGTCTAAGTGTAGACAATCCTACCCAGTCTTAGAGTAGCATACCTATAAAAATCCCTTTATGGTCAACCATAAAAGTTCTTGTGATTTTTGCTGAAAAACAGAAAAGTCTTAAAAATTAAGATGAGATAACTTTTGTTCGAAATTTGTTTTGCCCCAGATAGGATATTAATGTTATTGGAATATAGGTATTCAAACTGCTCAGTATAGGCACAAAATAAAAAAGAAGAGAGAAAATAAGAAGGAAAGGGAGCAAGAACAAGAGGTAATAGAGTTCCTTGGCCAAGAGTCTGTGGGATTTATCTGTGTAAAATACTGAAGTCACAAAACACCTTCTGAACTTATCCAAACTCCTTTCAAATTAGTATTGGCGATTTCACTTTTGCATTGGATTCCATTTTAGAGCAAATCATAGCAATGCAGAATAAATATTTAACTTTGATATGAATCATTTACTTTTAATCCAATTGTTTGCTTTGTTTTCAAGAATGTGAGGGAGATACCAGCTCCTCCATGTGGGTTTATGTGTTTTTGGGAAACCTTCTTCGTGGATTAGGAGAGGCTCCCATCCAGCCTCTGGGCCTGGCCTACCTGGACGACTTTGCCAGCGAAGACAATGCTGCCTTCTATATTGGTAATGTCCACCAGCTCACTTCCATTCTGTACTGAATGAGGTGTGGAAGGTTCGTTACCTCATTCCCCACTCCTTTATTCAGCTAACGCATTTCTGAACTACACACTTAGGATCTGGATGACGAAGACACCTCATAAGCCAGAAGGATCTATTGCATTAGGGAAAGAACATTATATTAAAACAAAACAGCTGTGGGCTCAACTGTACTGACATAGGAGCTTGTGAAACTATCTCTGTGGCCTTCAGAGTTCATAGATTATTTTTAGTAGGGTAAATGTACCAAAGAAGCATTTCAGTATTACAATTTTATGAAATCACTTCCTAAACCCTAGGAACTGTTTTCCATTCTGTAATCCCTGATTATTTTAAGCATCTTTTTCCCTATGAGGAATAGGTAACAAGTAATTCTTGGATCTCAACAACAGGTAACAATGGGTAAAAAAAGAGGATGGGAGCAAGTCCCATGGCTAACCCACCTCTGGAACAGGTCCCAGAGATTAACCAGCAGCTAAAGTCGCAAAACCCCAAATAATGGAACAAAGGCTCACGCTCAGACTCAGATGCATCTAAGCAACATCTATAGGATGCTTTTTTTTAATTTGCATTTTAAAAAATTTTATCATTTTTACATTTACTCACATATGTATACATTGTTTGGTCCACCTTCCCCCACCTGTAGGATGCCTCTTAATGACCTGGAATTAAGCTGGAAACTAGAGGTACAGGGGTGACTAAGACTTGTTCTCTGCATCAATTGATTTGATATTTTCAAGGCACAGCCTTTAGGAGCAGAGGGCAAGATTTAAGGAAGCTTAAGTAGCAGTTATACCTATGTCTACCACAGAGGCTTTCCCTAGCTATGTATTGCAGAACTGCAAACTAGTCTTCTTAACAACTAAACAGGCTGTAATTAACAACAGGACTCTCGCTCTTACACAAAACTGCAGCATAAATCAGGAACTGGAGTTATGACAAAAGCTGTGTCCTGTGCACTAGGCAGTCCCCTTGAGCACTAGAGGAAACGCTGTGGCCAGGAGTTCCTTTCCTCTCCAAGAGTTTAGAGCCAGCTCTCTCTCTCTCTTTGTACTCTCTTCTGCTCTGTAAAGGACGAGATAACTATTGACTCCTCCTGTTGATTTAATCTCCCAGGAATATGTGTGTTTTGATCTCTTCAAAGCCAAATAGGAGAGAGCTTGCAGGGAAGGGCTACCCTTTTGGTTGCTAGAAATGGTGTCTTGATGCAGTCTGCTCCAGTACCCCATGACCGTTGCCCTTGAGCGCTCCAGAAAGCATGTTCCTTGTTCCTCTACTAGATGTCTCCAGTGACCTGCAGAGGTATGCTCTCACAAATGGCCTCTCAGTGTCTCACACCTGAATCTTGGCTAGTAGGGAGGCAGAGATGGGAAGGATCATGACGGGAGGCCAGCCCAGGCAAAAAATTAGTGGGCCCCTATGGCAAAGTACAAGGTGCGTGTTATGGTGCACACTTGTAATCCCAGCTACATAGAAGATGTAGGTAGGAGGAACGTGGTCCAAGGCCAGCCTGAGCAAGAAACGTAAGTCCCTATCTGAAAAATGACTAAAGCAAAAAGGGTTGGACATGTGACTCAAGTGGCAAACACTTGTCTTAAAGTGCAAGACCCTGAGTTCAAAACAGAATGGTCCCACAGAACCTCTGAGCAACTGAATGCACATTTTCACTAAGGTGGAAGAAATAACTTAATGTTGAGACAGAATTCATCCTTAACTGGCCCTAAAATATTTTTGGAAGACTATCAAAATTAGTCAAATTCTAATTTTTAATAGAGGTCATCCTAATTCTAGGAACTAAAGTTTGCTCCATTTCAGGAAATTAAGTTCTTCATAGTCTTGGTGTCACTGCCTAAATAAGAGTTAGTTATTGTATCGAAAGTGTTCATTCTTTTCCCAGAGCAGAGAAGGATTTATTTCCTGTTTTAGTGAAATTGAAAAACTGACAAATTAAACACACTCAAGCTAGAAGTTGGAACACTGGTAGATACTAATGCTCTCACTTGCATTTTTTTGTTTAAAAATTTATTTTTATAAAGACAAAAATGACAGCTTTTTTTTTTCTTTTTCTTTCTTCCTCATTCCTTTTTTTTTTTTTTCTCCTTTCGGCACAGGATGTGTGCAGACGGTTGCAATTATAGGACCAATTTTTGGCTTTCTGCTAGGTTCATTATGTGCCAGACTGTATGTTGACATTGGCTTTGTGAAGCTAGGTAAGGGGGTTTATTTTTATTTATTCATTCATTTTAGTTTTTATGGTTTTTTTCTAATGGGGATGGTGTAGAAGATATCAAATTGCCTTTCATGAAAATGAAAGGGAGGTGCTCTTTCATGAAAAGAGAATAATCCATGGAAAGTGTATTGATCTAGTCATCACATGCATTAAGAAGTGAAATATGAAAAGTAGGTGGTGATTAGGTGGATGAGCCGTGGTTTGTTGTAACTAAGATGTATCCTTTTCCACTTCTGGTTGGCCAGTTCAGATGTATTCCAGCATGGTTAAGATTGAAAACTGTGACTACTTGTTGGCTCTTGCTGGTTTCAGGTGTGTCAACATTTATTACAGTTACATCAACTGATAATGTACTTGAAAACTTGCCAAAAGTAGTGCCTAGCATCTCTCTCTCTCTCTCTCTCTCTCTCTCTCTCTCTCTCTCTCTCTCTCTCTCTCTCTTTCTCCCTCAATTCCTTATTAAACAAATTTTTCTTAGGTGGAGCCATCTTACAGCAAGACTGGCTTGCCTTCCGGGAGATTAGTTGTATAGGGAACAAATGGGATGTAGGTGGCTGATTCTCCCAGATCTATTAGTTTGTTTCTATTTCTGTGAGATACACCTGTTAGAAATGGATGGTATTAGTCTATTGTTTTCATTTTTTAAAAAAGACAAAAAGCAAGTAAAAATAAGAAAACAAGATTTTGCAAAAAAAAAAACAAAACAAAACTGGCATTGCATGTTGAAGTCATTGTATGTTAAAACAGAATGCAAAATTCTTGTCTTTTTTAATTGAAAAAAACTGCAATACATGTTCCAAAGCTTTTATTTATTTATTTATTTATTTATTACCCTCTCAATGTTCTTTCACATTTACTCTATCCCTGGTGCTAGTCTATAACAGTGAATGAAATAATTGAATTCCTTGGCTTTATAAAGTTTAAAATTGAACCACAGAGACTGATAATAGATAAGATATATAAATATATATGTGTGCACACGTATGGTATAAGACATAAGATATAGATGAGATAGAGGTAAGTATGGATATCAATATAAAATGAAATATAAGTTGTAGATGAATAAACTATAGATTACCTATAGATATTTGAGATGACTGATACAGAGGAAGATTGTTAAGGGGAACAATGAACATGCAGTGATGAAGTAGAAATCACATTTTACCAAGTGTAATGCAATGATGTTGAACTGACTTATCAAGAGGATCCTCTCAAGTGTGATGGAAGTAGAGTACAGAGACATACTTTATAGGTTCCTATACAGAAAATTTAAAAAAAATTGTTTAATAAGATTTGAGGGAGAAAGAGAAAGAGAGAGAGAGAGAGAGAGAGAGAGAGAGATGCTAGGCACTACTTTTGGCAAGTTTTCAAGTACATTATCAATTAATGTAACTGTAATAAATATTGGCACACTTGAAACCAGCAAGAGCCAACAACTAGTCACAGTTTTCAATGGAGAAATGATGTAAAAAGTCAAGTTTTTCTTGAGATGCAAAGTGGGATGACTATTAGTTCAAGGCTATAAAGGTGAGGCCCTGCCTCAAAACGCCAGGGAAAAAAAAGAGTTTAGACAAGATGGTGTTACCTATAGCCTCATCTACACAGGTGGCATAGGTAGGAGGATTGCTGACCAAGGCTGTCCCTGGGTAAAAGTGAGACCCTATCTGAAAATTAAACCAAAGCAGACACAACTGGAGATGTGGCTCAAGTGGTAGAGCACCTGCCTAGCAAGCACAAGACCCTGATTTCAATCCCCAGAACCACCTAAACAAAGAAAAGAAAAGAATTTTTATGATGAATTTTATTTACGTATAAAAATCTTGCTTCAGACCTAGAGTAGCTCTGAAGGATTAACCTCCATTTAATAAACAAAGTTCTGCTGATTTAACCTCACCAAGTACCTTGGATTTAGATTGGAGGGTGTAGGGCATAACTTTCTCCAAATCAAGTCTTAGCTATTCAATATGAAATGAAATGAAATGAAAGAGACATGACAGGGAGGAGCGAGCATGTGGGGTTTTGAACTCTCCTGATTCTCTCTCACCTGTTGCCTTTCTCCTTTTAAGAGTCCCACTGGACACAGTCCAAAAATGATGAAGCCCCTCCAGCATTTAGACCTTGCATGATCAATCTAAGGAACAAGAAAAGGAAGCGTCTTTCCCCAGAAACACCATTTTCCTTCAACAAGCAGAGTAATGATAACATTCAGATCAGAAATAATGTCATGACTGCATTAGACGTTCTTATGGTGTGATGGAGTTAATGTGAAGATTTAAATTTTGTCTAAAGTAACTCATTCAACGCCTTAGTGTGGTTATATATGCTACTTAACCATCCTCTGTGTCTTTTAGACCACATCACCATTACCCCAAAAGATCCGCAGTGGGTCGGTGCCTGGTGGCTTGGTTATGTAATAGCAGGAATCATAAGTCTCCTTGCAGCTGTACCTTTCTGGTGTTTACCCAAGAGTCTACCAAGACCCCAAAGTAGGGAGGACTCTAATTCCTCCTCAGAGAAATCCAAGTTTATTATAGATGATCCTATAAACTACCAAATGCCCAATGGAGAAAAAGCAAAACTAATGGAAATGGCAAGAGGTAAGTTGAATTCTCCTTGATTTTGAAGTACGTTCCATTTCCCTTTTGGGACTTCAGATGATTTATGAACAATACCACTCTCTTCTGCTTTTTTGTTCCAAAAAAAATGAGAGATCATATAAAAAGCAGGAAGGGAGATAAAGCTGTCATCTTTCTTCGTGGACAACTGATTGAAGCTCACAACTGAAAGACTCCATAACTTTTCTTGCTTATGTCTTCGCTGTCTCACACCCCTTCAGTTAAGTCCTGCCCTTGCCTCGTCCCAAGATTGTTGCTTGGTATAAATTAGAGTGGACAGAAAAGAAAAGAGTGAATCTTCAGGGCTCTTAGTCTTTTACCAGATGAGCTGTATCCATGTAAGGAACATATCAATGCGTGTCTCTCACTAACGTTAAAGAAGTGAATGCACTGTGGGCGAGGTCAGAAATGTTCTCATGAATTCCCTACATGGAAATGAATGGTCGTGAAGTTGGATACCCCATTTCCTTCTTTTCCCTAAAGTAATATTGCACTTAAATTCATGGAAATTCTTCAACTGCTTAGTAGCATAATAAGAAGAAAGAAAGCTAAAGCTCCTCTTAATACTAAGGAGCAAACATTAAATGTAGATAACTACGTATTTCTTTCCCTGTGACCATGACCTAAGTTTAAAGAATAAAGACCAAAATCTGAAGTCATTGATGTCCTGCCTACGGTCCCCAGCTGTTTGGTGAGAGTGTATTCTCCTGTCCCTTGTCGTTGACTCATATCACTTAGAGGAATCTGTTCCCATCTGACATACAGCTGTCACATAATCTATAGTGAACACCTGTAGAAGTGAGGGCCTGTGTCTGGGTTTGAACTCAGCCAGATTGAAGCCATGTCATTGGTTTAATACCCAGAGCACGTGTGTGTGTGCCTGTGTGTGTGGGGGGGTGTGGTCCACACTGGGAGCAGTCCTTCACGCTGTGACAGCGGGATCCAGCCACCTACCTCCTGATGCTTCAGCTGCATCTTCCACCGAGTATAACACTGTCCTGAATTGCTCCCCGTCGTTTTTGTCTTGCAGATTTTCTCCCATCACTGAAGAGTCTTTTTGGAAACCCAGTGTATGTCTTGTATTTGTGTGCCAGCACTGTTCAGTTCAACTGTCTGTTTGGCATGGTGACGTATAAGCCAAAGTACATAGAACAGCAATATGGACAGTCATCCTCCAAGGCCAACTTTGTCATTGGTACGCTTGTCTAGCCTTCATATTTTCTCATAGGAGCTATCTCAGATAAGGCTTGTCTAGCCTTCATATTTTCTCATAGGAGCTATCTCAGATAAGTCTTGTCTAGCCTTCATATTTTCTCATAGGAGCTATCTCAGATAAGTCTTGTTAACTCTTAGTGATATTAGACTGTTCCAGTATTTAGCCCTAAGGTAATCTGGGGCATTTTAAATGAAGATAAAGAGTAAGTAAAAATTATCTAGCAGAGTAAAATACTCAGACGGTCTCTGGCACACGTTTGTAGCAAGATTTGTTCATAACTGTATGTGACTCAGAAAATTGCTCACAGTTCTTGAAGAAGTGACATATAAGCCTAACATGAATTTTATTAGGACATTGTTAATGCTGGGTATTTGTGTTTCAAGATTAGCTGAAAGCTCACAACAGTGGCCCTTTTACATGACCAGCTTCTAAGACTATGCCAAATGAGCATTTAGGCAGGCTAAAGGTGCTAACCATAAAACAAGGCTTCCAGTTGCTGAATTAAAAGATTTTCCTGACTCTTGACAACTGCATTGTTTAAAGGGTTGTGTTTGTAGCACTACAGTCAGTGATGAGGAAGGTATTCAGGGTCAAGAAAAGCATGAAGAAATTAATGAAGAACCAGGATCTGCAATATGTGACCACCATCCTGGAGGTAATAGATACTTTTAAAACCTGGACTGCTTTTTTACCCCATGGAGAAGTCACTTAATGTTACTGTTTCAAGACCCTTATTTTTTATATTTCTTTGGATGTGTTTTTTTATGATAGGTATCTGTAATATAACTTCTTAAAGTAATTTCTTCTTCATAGAAGATTTTAAAAACCACCCATGTTCTATCCCTGAAAGACAAACAGAACAGCTGACTGTATCTTGGAAGATAAAATTTTCTCATGAAAATTATGAGTAATTATCCCTTAGCAGAAACAAATATAATTGACTTTTTGTTTGGACTATTCAGATCATTGAACTTTTTTCACTTTTAACACTAGCAGGTTTGAATTAATTTAATCATTATTTCATGACTGATTCTGAAGAAATATTTTAGAATTTTTTCCAAAGCCCCATTCATGCCAATCTGTGCTTTAAATTGACTTTCAGAATACATGAGTCAGGCACTAGTGGCTCACCCCTGTAATCCTAGCTATACAAGAGACAGGGATCAGGAAGGTGGTGGTTTGAAGCCAGCTGGGGCAAATAGTTCTTGATATCCTACTGAAAATACCCAACACAAAAAGGGTAGGTGAAGTGACTCAAGTGGTAGGGTGCCTGCCTAGCAAGTGTGAGGTTCCTAGTTCAAACCTAGCACCAAAAAAAAAGAAGAAAGAAGAACATACAAGAAATGAAAAGGTTTGGCTATTCTATTTTATTTGTAGTTTTTAATATATTTATTGAAGTATAACTTTCAATCAAAATTTAAGTCTACAGACCTTATATGTATAGCTCAGCTAAATAATTTTTTGCATATTTATTTGTATAATATCAACTTCTAGAACATAAAGTATATTTTAGCATCCCAGAAAGCTCTCTTCAGTCAGTACTTTTTCCCAAAGCTATTTCTTTTTCTGAAATCAATTACTATAAACCACTTATGCCTCCTTTGGCGCTTTATATAAGTTGAGCAATCCACACTCTTTTGTGTCTGGCTTATTTCAATTGAAGTTAAATCTAGGAGATTCATTCATGTTCTTTTGTATAACCCTGATTATTTCTTCATAATTTCTGTGAAATAGTCTACCACTGGAATATACCATAATTTATTCAGATCATGGTTGTTTTTCATTTAGGCTGTTTTTTTGGCTTTTATAGATAACATTGCTGGAACCATTCGGCACGTATATTGGTGGGCTTTAACATGCAGTACAATTATTGGGACATCAGGACATGTAGATCTAGATCTGGGAGGTACTGCAAAAACACGAGGTGGTTGTGCAAAGTTATATTCCTGTTAAGGTGCAAGAGCATCCCAGTAGCTCACCTTCTTGTCAGCCCTTGGCTTCATCAGTCTTTGTCATTGTAGCCACTCTTGCAGGGGGTATTGGTGTCACATTATTGCTTTATTTACATTTAGCAGATGATTATTGATGCTGAGCACATCTTCATAAGCTCATTTGTAATTTCTGGATTCATTTTTGTTCATTGCATTCAAGTCATTTGCCCATTTTTGGCTTGCCAGTCTTTTTCTTATCGATTTGCTGGTGTACTATGTATTTTTCTTGATATAAGTTCCTTATTGTATATACGTAATAAATATTTTTCTCATAGCCTTCAACTTGTCTTTTGAGTCTATCAACGGTGAACATCTTAATTTTAATTAAGTCCCATTTTCAGTCTTTTTCTTTTTCATTAGTGGTGTTTTGATTCTGTTTTAAGAAATCATTGATAGATCCCAAGATCATGAAAATGTTTTTCTAATATTTCTACTAATCTTAGGAAAACTCAGAGCATTATTTCAAGAGAGGTACTTATAATAGAAAAGTAGATTCTATGCCTGTGATCCTAGTTACTCAGGAGGGAGATCTGGAGGATTGGGGATCGAAGTCAGTCAGAGCAAACAGTAGAGAGATCCCATCTCAACCAATAAGGCAGCTGTGGAAGCATGCACCTATCATCATAGCTACACAGGAAGCATAAATAGGAGGATCATGGTCCAGATCCACCTAGGCATATATGTGTGTATGACATGACCTTATTCAAAAAATGCCTGCAGTAAAGATGGCTGACAGCATAGCTCAAATGGTAGAGTGCCTGCCTACAAAATATGAGGATCCAAGTTCAAACCCTAGTACTGGTAAAAAATTACTTCTTTAATTAATTAAATAAAATGAAATGAACTGCTAGGTACATTCTTGAAAAGTTTCAGTTCGGAGTTTGGTTTTTACAAGTTTCCTTTCCCATACAGCATTTTGAAAAATGAGATAGAGAAAGAAAATATAGGCCCCTGCTCACAAGGTGCCAGCTTTGAGGCTGTGGGAAGCCATTCAAGATCAGATGCTATGTTTTATACACTTCTTCCATGCATGGGTATAAAACTAGGGACTAACAAGACATTGAATCCATGGCAGTTCTCACTTCTGGAAAAGAAGTATGGATCTAGGACAAGGGAGAATTGGTTTTCTCTTTCTCCACATTTTAAAATCAGAAAAATACTAGCATTGATTCATTTGTGCCATGCATAACTGAGTTTGTTATATTTTTCCATAATCTATTATTTGTTTTTTAAATACTTCTTTTCTGAGACAGAGTCTCACTGAGTAGCCAGGCTGGTCTCACATTCCCAATCCTCCTGCCTCAGCCTCCCAAGTGCTAGGATGACAGGGCTTTCATATTTTAAGTACTAATGAGATACATCTAGGCTGATTTTTGCTTTTCAGTGTTCTAGGACACATTCTTCTCTGTGACTTGCCACATCTAAAATGTTTATGTTGGCTGAAAATGCACAAATGGGCATTTCCACCTCACCACTTTCATGATCATGAAATTTCTAATATAGTCATTTTAATGTTAACTTATGTAGTTTATAGTCAAATCAGAAAGGATAAAACAAAACATCCTTTGTTATCAACTTCCATACATGGTGGATACATTGTTTTAAAATAAGGCTATGTAATAGTGAGCCAAAAATCAGTATATACTTGATATCTTGAATCTTAGTTAAGAGGCTGGGTAAGTAAATTGAAAAAAAAAAAAAAGAAAGAAAACAGAATGATGGACAAAGAAGATAGGTAGAAGGAGGGAGGAAATTTGTATCTCATTGTCACTAGATGTCAGTGTTTCTACTCTTTTGTGTGTTTTGTTTCCACATTGGGTTGCAAGTCAGAGCTTCAAGGGTTTGGGGTAATTGTTTATCATAGCAAATGTGAGTTTGCATTTGAACCTGTCTGTTAACCAGACCTTATATAAGCTTCAGCTCTTTTATTATTTGAAAAATGCAGTATCTCCAAACCTGAAGATAATGGATAATGTAGACATCAGTGTTTGATATGTAGACAGCAAGAGAAACAAGTTCCAGTGAGCAGAGAAGTTGTTTATTGTTGAGTGTATGCCAGTTCACCCTTCTGTCCCTTTACAGGTTAACCAAGAGGGCATGCAAGAGCATCTTTCTCCAAGCCTTTTCCAACACAGTGGTTTCACTGCTCCCCCTTCAATACTATCATCTTCATAAATCTGATAGAAATTAGTTCAATTGTTTTTTGTGTCAGAAATTGTACTAAGAACCTTTCATGAATAATGTCATTTAATCACCTTCGCAACACTACTACAAATGGAACATCCTTAATACAAAAATCTGAAATCCAAAATGCTGACAGTATGCAACAAGTAGAAACTTCCATATCCAACCTAGTCACAGTCAAAACACAGGGACAACAAAAATATTGTATAAAATTTTCTTCAGGCTATGTGTATAAGGTATATATGAAATATTTGGTTTGACCTGGGACCTATATCTTACTGTGTATATATAAATATTCCAAAATCTGAAAAAAAAAAACCTACCAAAATGCAAAAACACTTCAGTCTCAAGCATTTTGGGCAAGGGTATTCAACCTGTGTTAGTTCCATATTATAAGGCTTAGAGACATGCAGGGATTTGCCTGTGTCTCTTAACTTATGTGGCAGAACTGAGATGGAAACCCAGGCAGGTGGGTTTCCAAGCTCTCCTCCACTCTGACGGACTTCTTACTAGTGGCCAAAGGCATGGGACTTGACTACAGACTTCCTGCATTCAAATCTATATTGCCCATCACCAACAGTGATGGTGAACAAATTGCTCTGACATAACCTACTACTCTTAAGGTTGCAGTGAACAGTAAATATGATAGAGTATACCAAATGTTTAGCTGAGTGGCTGGTAGATTTTAAGCAAATAATAAACACCTATTATTGTTAAGATGCCAAACCAAGAGGCTAAGAAGCTCGAGCAATAAAATCTAATTCTGTGGGGGCTGGAAAATAGAAACCCAAGCCTTTCTTTTGAATTCCCTGCATTCCATGTGATTATTTTGTCATCTAAAGAACCTTTTTGAACCTCTTAATCCCGAACTTGGGCGAGAAAGACATCAATTCATTGATTCATTCAGCTTTTATTGAGTTAACAATCCTGTGCTAAACATTATGTCAGGCTGAACTCTCAGACTGCCGTGTGCTCTTAGCAATCCACATCCCAGACTTTCATCAAGAGATCTTGATGTAGACCAGTAGATGATAGTGACTGAATATTTCTCTAAATTCAAATGACAAAATAATATTACATCAGAATTATTGATAGTTTTTGCATGGAAGTTTGTGTGAGTACACTTAGATTTCTCAGAAGACTCATGAGTTGATATATTTTTCTTATTCTTTAGGACTCATCAACATACCTGCGGTGGCCCTGGGAATATTCTCTGGAGGAATAATGATGAAAAAATTCAGAATCAGTGTGTATGGAGCTGCGAAACTCTACTTGGGGTCGTCTATCGTTGGTTACCTCCTCTTTCTTTCCCTGTTTGCAATGGGTTGTGAAAATTCTAAAGTTGCAGGACTAACTGTCTCCTACCAAGGGTATGTTCCCTCATCAAATAATTTGAAGAGATTTACTTGTTTAATTCAATTAACTTTTGGTTGAGGTTTATTATGGGATAGCTGACAATAATTAAAACTTGGAATCTATAATTGTCACCAAAACTTATCACTTCCTTTGGATTTGAATGTTGTACAGAAATATTGCTAAATTTACATCTTGTATTAAGGAATCAACCTGATAAGAGAATCATATTGATAGAGAATTTATAGTGGACATACATACCTTGCATCTTGTCTGCTCTTAGTGAAATGATGTTGTGTGGGTTATTTAAACCAATTCAACTTCACTTTTCCATTTTTAAAATAGAAATAATGATTGCCTTTTAAGGTTTTGCAAAGCTGAAGTAAGAGAATGTACATGACAGTGATTAGTACTTGTCTGACTCAAAATAGATGCTCAACTTCCTTTTAGACCTCTGGGTAACTGGATTGGTCTCTATACCATTCTCTGAAGTCTTTGCTGAAGTAGAATCATAGACTTTTCAGAAGAGAATGACTGGCCTCCAATCCAGATATCCCACAGCGGTTCTCTTTAGCTGGGTGTTATGCAATGGGTCAGGAGAATATTTACGTCTATTATTGATGCCCTCAGAGCTATGTTATCCCATGGAGAGTGGGTGCTTAGATTGGTTTCTAAGCTGTCTCTCTTAAATAGGACTTTCTGGGACCTATTTCTTCTTTCCCTTTAAGAATCCTTCCCATCATCCAGGTGCTGGTGACTCATGCCTGTAATCCTAGCTACTTGGGAGACTGAGATCAGGAAGACACCCCAGCCCAGGCAAAAATTTAAGACCATGTCTGAAAACTAACTAAAGCAAAAAGAGCTGAGGGCATGGATTAAATGGTAGAGTGCCTACCTAGCAAATGCAAGGCCCTGAGTTAGAACTCCAGTACCAAAGTAAAAAAATTAATTGTAAATACTACAGTTCTTCAAAGATTAGAGGCCTCATGTAATCTCACTTGTATCTTCCAAACACCTATATGAGGTAAGTTTTGTTGTCTGTGTTTAAAGTAGCTGAATTGAAAAAGTTATTTAGCTTCCCCAAACTTAACATCTATTGAGAAAATCTTTGCCTTGAACATAGAACAACTAAAAGTGTAGTGTACTTTCTTTTTTTTTCCCCTCACACATTGTATTGTTCCATATGTAGTGTTCTTTCTACAGCATCACACTGTTTCTAAGTCAAAAGCAAACACATAGACAAAAACAGCAAACTTTTGAGGTTCACTTTTTAAAAGTATACTTACATAATAAAAGATGACATATTTCTAAAGACATAGAAGATTGTATATTCACTGCACATAGGCTCTTCAGAAGTCACCTTGAGAGACAGTAACTGAATTTTGAAATAGCACTATCATTGTTTAAAATATTTGAAATCCTCTTTCAAAATTGCTTTCCACATTTTTACAAGATCCTCGACAATGGCAAAGATGTAACCTTTGAGAATAGCTTTGCAATTTTAAACAGCCAAAAGAAAAGGCAATATCAATGAGAACATCTCTTACGTCTCAGCATAACTGTTTTGAAAGAAAACCTCATAATCATTCTGACATATTTGCTCAAATTCTTATAATTAAAATTTGAAATCACAACTCTACCATCAACACAACCTTCATTAAATATATGTGCAATTAATTCTATCCTCACTGGCAAATTAAGCTTGCTTTAATATTAGACAATGATTGGTTTTATAAAATAATACAAGATGCTCCTTGATGCTGGTGGTTCTCTCCTTTCATTACAGCAATGGCAGGGAGCCTAAAATAGGAGGGTCACAGTTCCAGACCACCCCAAGCAAAAAAAGTTCTCAAGATCCCATCTCAATGGAAAATAGCTAGACATGGAAGATCACAGTCAAGGCCAACTTGGGCAAAAGTGAGACTCCCATCTCCAAAATAATTGAGCAAGAGGGGGAAGGGGGGCTGGTGGTGAGACAGGTGATGGAGCACTTGCCTAGCAAGGGCAAAACCCTGAGTTCAAACCCCAGTACCTCAAAAATAAATAAATAAATGAATAATAAATACAAGTTGCTCCCTCATGGATTGTCCCATGTTGCTTTCTTTGAAAAGAATCAACTTTTTGATTTTGGACACTTAAGACAATTTAAGCTAGATATGGCAATGGGAGATTTCCTTCTTCTGCAATGATGGAGAATCACCCTGATGTGAGCGAAGAGCTCCAGAGGCGTGGAAGGCTCCTACTTCCAGGTTCTCACTAACAATGGGTGGGCCTTGGAGCCAGTCCTTGGGCCACCTTGGATCTGACCTTTCTGATCTGTCAAATGAGGCTTTGACCTACATTATTCCAAGTTTCCTTCCTTCCAGTGCCTTGTTTCTGTGATCTCAGCCTCACTGTATCCACAATGGCCTGATTTCAGGCTCAGCGGCTCAGTTTTTATAGTTTTAGATGCTACCAGACAGTCTCAGCTGGTAGTTTATACTTTATGGAAAAGAATAAATACCTCTCATAGGCAGAGGCAAAACTGACTGGTCCTTTCTCCAAAGTAAAATATTCCATGTTTTAGTGGGCCTAATGGCCATGCCAATACTCCCAGGACTCAGAAGGCTGAGGCAAGAGGATCGTGTGTTCAAGGCTAGCACGGGCTAGATCACGAGACCCTATCTCAATAAAGAAAACAAAACCCATTTTCTTTTCTGGCTGACTTTCCAAAAGTCTTATTTCTTAGCCTACTATATACCAGGGATTGTTCTTGATACTGGTAATATAGGAATAAATAAAACAAATACATCCTACCCCCATTGACTATAACTTTATTTGTTCATTTAAGTCCCTCAAATAGTTTTGTTAAAAAACAATTAGGGTGTGTGTATTTATGTGTGGTGACCAAATAAATAAATAAGTTCAAATAGGAAAGGAGAATTATGAAAGACAAGGGGGCCAAATATTTGGGGCAGACGGAAGTGTCATATCTTGTGTAAGCACTACATGAGAAGAACAGACAGACACAAGGAGATGAGCGTAAGGATTAGTCAATTCAGGTAAGAGTAAGAATGAGGGAAATATGGGAGAGATAAAGGGAGAATATGGAAGAATGAGAAAGAACAAAAGAGAGGGAGAGAAAAGAGAAAAATTTAAATTATACAAAGTAACTGTCAAAAAAGCCAACATCTTGAGGACAAATATTGTTATCAGTCAGTCATAACTGTAACCATCTTCCATTCTCCCAAAGCTACCATACTTTTCCAATAACATTTTATGAATAAACATAAATTGATAGTTCATTGAAATAACGTGACCAAAAAACACATGAAAAAATGCTCACCATCTCTAGCAATAAAGTAAATGCAAATTAAAACCACACTAAGATTCCACCTCACCCCTGTTAGAATAGCCATCATCAGCAACACCACCAACAACAGGTGTTGGTGAGGATGCGGGGAAAAAGGAACCTCATACACCGTTGGTGGGAATGTAAACTAGTACAACCACTCTGGAAAAAATTTGGAGGCTACTCAAAACACTAAACATTGATCTACCATTTGATCCAGCAATACCACTCTTGGGGATATACCCAAAAGACTGTGACACAGGTTACTCCAGAGGCACCTGCACACCCATGTTTATTGTGGCACTATTCACAATAGCCAAGTTATGTAAACAGCCAAGATGCTCCACGACTGACAAATGGATCAAAAAAATGTGGTATCTATACACAATGGAATTTTATGCAGCCATGAAGAAGAACGAAATGTTATCATTCGCTGGTAAATGGGTGTAATTGAAGAACATCATTCTGAGTGAGGTTAGCCTGGCCCAAAAGACCAAAAATTGTATGTTCTCCCTCACATGCGGACATTAGATCAAGGGCAAACACAACAAGGGGATTGACCTTTGATCAGAAGATAAAAGCGAGAGCCCACAAGAGAGATATGAGGATAGGTAAGACACCTAAAAAATTAGTTAGCATTTGTTGCCTTCAACTCAGAGAAACTAAAGCAGATACCTTAAAAGCAACTGAGGCCAATAGGAGAAGGGGACCAGGAACTAGAGAAAAGGTTAGATCAAGAAAAATTAACCTAGATGTAACACACATGCACAGGAAATCAATGCGATTCAACTCCCTGTATAACTATCCTTATCTCAACTAGCAAAAACCCTTGTTCCTTCCTATTATTGCTTATACTCTCTCTTCAACAAAATTAGAGATAAAGGCAAAATAGTTTCTGCCAGGTATCAAGGGGGTGGGGGGTAAGAGAGTGGGTGGGGGCAGGGAGGAGAAATGACCCAAGCATTGTATGCACATATGAATAATAAAAAAAATAATAAATTTAAAAAAAGAAATAATGTGAAATTGAGTAAGCAAGAACATTACAAGAATGGGAGAGCCCTGTAGATTGGGAGAATGTAGGAGAGAAAGGACAAATAACCTGAGTACAACATACATAAGTAGAATATGTAGCTTCTACAAATGTTGGGAATGTATTGAATGTCAGCTTCTTGGCTCTTTTTTCCTTCATTGAACAATTAGCAATGTCAATTTTATCGATATTCATACAATTTTGAATTAAATTCACACACATCACCTATGATACATTGAAATAATGCCAGAGATTATTCTAAAAGTTGACTTTTCCACCTTATACCTAAATATATTTTTTGCACACAAATATATTAGACAACTCTGGTGGCAGTAGTCGTCAGTAAATACCATTAGCTAAGAAGGAGACATTGTGGGAATTTGTAAACCTATTAAGAAAATTCTCAAGAGAAAACTGTTGAATAGTTGACTCATATGTAACAATTTGATGCTGGCATTTCTGATCACAACTGTTTCCAAAAGACTAACTTTATTGGCAATATCATTTATATTACTTAAGAATATTGAGTTTTTGAAAATGTTAGGGTCTTATCTGCTAAGGGATAATATTTTATACTGTTACATTTCTTTTTCAGAAACAAACCTGTCTCTTCTAGTGAGCGAGCACTCTTTTCAGATTGCAACTCAAGATGCAAATGTTCAGAGACAAAATGGGAACCCATGTGTGGAGCAAATGGGATCACATATGCATCAGCTTGTCTTGCTGGCTGTCAAACCTCCCACAGGAGTGGAAAGAACATTGTAAGAACTCTCCTCCCTCAGGGGATATGCTCTTGAATGTGTTCCCATATAGACCCACACAGCTCCATGGGGGCTTGGAACAGACCACCCTTCCACTCTCGTGGAAGCCTTGGCTCTTACCTTTCCCTTGTGCTTTTGTTTGGAAATAAGAAATTTATAACTATTCCTTATGAATCTAGAGTTGAAAAAATTAGGGTAACAATGAGAATCATGGATCAGGGTGGTGCCTATTTTGTCATCCATTCTTTTATTTCACATATAAAGAGTTTAAGCCCTGAATGAGGAAGTTCCGAGCATAACATCAGAAGATTTGCTTTTGGATCCATTTCTCCTGACCACAAGACCAGTGGTCCTTGGAGGTTTCAGAGGCAGGACAAATAGAGGTCAGTATTAGACCTCTAAATCCAGGAGTGTGGATCCAGGGCTCATGGATCTGATTATAAGGAGGTTGATGGTTTGGGGACAGCTCTACTTGAGAAATCAAGCCAAATTCATGTGATACTGAAGAGTTATTGAGCTACGATGGAGGGTTTCTCTGGGGTGAATCTGAACTGGAAATTTAATAAGAAGCAGTTTCAGGTGTCTGGGCTGCTATATCAAATAGACCATCCAATGAGTGCCTTAAACAATGCACATTTATCTCCCACAATCCTGGAAGCTTGGAAGTCCAAAATGAAGTTACAAGAAGACCCAGTGTCTGGTGAGGGCCAGCTTCCTGGTCTGCAGGTGGTGGCCATCTTCTCTGTCTGTCCTCACACCACAAAGAGAAGAGAGGAAAGACAAACTATCTGTTGATTAGTTTTTTGTCACCATCACAAATACCCAAGAGAAACATCTTATTAAAGTGAGGAGACATTTGTTCTGACTCATGGTTTCAGAGGTTTCAGTCCGTGGGCACTTGACTCCGTATTTCTGGGCATGCATGCATCCAGACAGAGCACAATGGTGGCGGTAGCATATGGCACAGCCGTTCCCTTCATGATGAGCAGGAAGCAAGGAGTGACGAAGGGGCAGGGGACAAGATACATCTTTCCAGGGCACATCCTCAGTGACATACTTCCTCCAACTAGGACTCATCTCCCACTTTTCAACACTTCCCAATAATACCATCATTTATTAATTGATCAAGGAATTAATCCATTGATTAGGTCAGAGCCCTCAGGATAAAATCACTTTCCAAAACACCATCAGCTGGCAATGAAGCCTCCAATACATGAGCCTGTGGGGAATATCTCATATTCAAACCATAACAGTGGGCTGTGCAGTTGGTACTGCCTATTTCCTAACTTAGGAGGCAGAAATCAGGAAGATCGCTGTTCTGGGTCAACCTAGGCAAAAAGGTTGCAAGACCCTTTCTCAACCAGGAAATAGCTGAGTTTGGCAGTGCGCGCCTGTCTTCCCAGCTATGCAGGAAGCATAAATAGAAGAATCACAGTCCAGACCCACCTGGGCATAAAGGGAGACTCTATCTCAAAAATAAACAAGGTGAAAAAGGCTGGGATGGGGCTCAAGTGGTAGAGTGCCTGCCTAGCAAGCACAAGGTCTAAGTTCAAATCCCAGTACTGAAAAAAAATAAAAAGCATGACAGTATCCCCTTCTTAAAAGACACTAAACCACTGATGAGGGCTACAGCCTCATGACCTAATCACTTTCCAAAGGCCCTACCTGCAAGTAGTATCACACTGGGGGCTGGAGGAAGGGGGTCGTATTTCAGTTTGCAAATGATATTTTTCAGTCATTAATAGACTTACCCTTTTTATCACATCTTTACATTACTGGTCTATACATTGGGTCTTTCTTACACTGATTGTATCAGACTGCTTTCTGTTTGTGACTAGTGAAAGTGCCTTTATTTGACAGTGCCAGAGGGTTAAAATTAGGCCATACATATGTTTGCATATGCTAATCAACTGGTGATGAATACTTAGACAAACACACATCTAACTTCAGCCTGAGCTAGAAAGTGAGACCTTGTCTCAAAAACAACAAACCAAACAAACAGAAACAGAGTTAAGATTCAGTGGCTTTCAACATAAGCACAACACAAAAGAAAAACCTATATTGCTACTCTTTCTAGAAAAGAAAATGCCAGTTTTACTTCACACTAAAAATTTAAAATCTAAAAACTCATAGTTTTTCATAATGAAAATGGTAACACGTATGTAGTATGTATAATACATATTAAGAAATTGTATTTCATTAAGAATTTTACAGAAATGAACCAGGAGGGGTTATAAAAGTTGTCTAGATTTAGTTGAATTTTATGCATCAGGATTTTTCCTCCAATGGTCGTTATAAATTCTGTCATATCCTCCAATTATGCCCATTTACCTGATAAATTTTTATTAAATACTTAAAACAAAGGTCAATTTCAGGACATGGATATATAAATCTCAGTTCCACAGAGATTTATTCTAGTGGGGAAATAGAATTTTAAAATAAATAAATAAGTGTGTGGTATCCTGATAGGTAGTAAGCCGCAGTATGGGGAAAATATAGGGTCAGTAGGGGAGAGATGGAGATGCAATTTTGAAAGGAAAATCATGGAAGTTCTCTCTAATGAAATCTCTGAGCAGGAAACTGAAATAGAATGCCACCACTGTAGCTCTCTAGGGGGTCAGCGGCCTGATCAGAAGAAACAGTGAGGCCATGAGGCATGAGTGCACTTGCCATGTTTGAGGGAAGGGTGGCCATTGGCCTTTGCAAGGGCCACACGTGTGGCTGAAACACAGGAAGAGAGGGAAGATTATTGAGCAATGAGATCTGAGTGGGGTGTACGAGCTACATGTGGATCACGTCTAAAGCACTGTAAGGATCTGCAATTCCGTACAAATACACAATGGACAACCAACCATTGGAAGGCCAAGGGTAGTGGTGGAATCTGGTCACCATTTTTAAGACTCTTTTTGATTACTATGTGGAAAAGAGACTGTAGCTGGATAAGAATGGACACAGATTGGAGTTCAAAGTGACCATTGTGATGATCAAAATAAAAACTAATGGTGGTTTCAACTTGAAAGTGGTGGTGGAGGAGGTCATGGGTTTTGATAGTATTTGCTGGGAGACTATTCCATAGGATTTGTAGTTTATAGACCAATCTGTCACTCTTTGAATAATGAAATATTATATCTCTATTGATCTCACTTTAATGTACTCTAAAACAGAATAAAAGAGTATCTTCTCATTATTCACATAATATATGTATATTGTACTATAAAGGTTTTTAAAGTAAATTTGTGGGTTTAATTTCATTTAACTGTTACCTCAACAAGTGGTCTTTTCTCTGTTGTGTTGCAGATATTTTATAACTGCACCTGTGTGGGAATTGCAAACTCTCAATCAGGAAACTCCTCTGGCATGATGGGCAGATGTCAAAAAGATAATGGATGTCCCAAAATGTTCCTGTACTTCCTTGTAATTTCGGTCATCACTTCCTACACTTTATCCCTTGGTGGCATCCCAGGGTACATGTTACTCTTGAGGTAAGAACTGATTCTTGACACACCAATTTCAAAACAATACACAAAAGACATTCTCTTCTGTGAACCCATCATTATTCCTCTTAGCTTTTGCAGGGAACTGGGCCCAGACCCATCTCTACTGTGACATGTCTCCCACCTCAGATTTTTTTATATAAAAATGCAGTGGAATAGAGTTTTCTTAGTTAAAAATGTTTGGAAGGCTTTGGTCTAGAATACTGTTGATAGCGACATCACTGAAGTCTCTTAATAAGTACTGATGTTGGTGCCAATACTGATTCAGATAAAATGTGTTTTAGATTAAATATAGTTTCCACAAATTCATGAGAGAAATAATTTATAAGATGTGTTGAACACTCACCAAATAGCAGTGTCTTGAATTTATTTTTGATGCGTAGATTATTATTTTTCTGTATATTCTTGTCAGGCTAGATTTTTCTGTGAATGATTTCTTGGCTTTGGGTCAGTTGAGGGTTCTAATGTATGAATATCACTCCACTGAGTTCAGATACTTTTTTGTAAGACTGATGTTTGAACTCAGGGCCTCACACTTCCTAGGCAGACACTGTTAGTTGGGTCACATCCCCAGCCATTTTTTTGCTTTAGTTATTTTTTTGATAAGGACTCACATTTTTACCCTGGGATGGCCTGAGAGCGCCATCTTCCCACCTATACCTCTTGTGTAGGTGGGATTACAGATATATACCTCCATTCTTAGCTTGTTTGTTAAGATGGGATCTCACTAATGTTTTACCCAGACTGGCTTTGAACCACAATCTTGCTGATCTTCACCTTCCACATAGCTGGAATTAAAGGTATAAACTACCAAGCCCACTACTAAAGGAATTTTTTAGTGCTGCACTCCTTGCATATTTTTTAATTGACATGTACAAATTTTAATAATCATATAAGTAAGAACTAAGCTGTTTTCATGTAAGTCATGTGGACTGTATAGTCATTATTCTTTAGGTCCCATAAATTACATTTGAAACCATGATGAATATTTCTTAAATGGTTCTCTTGTTGATTTTAGGTGCATTAAGCCACAGCTTAAGTCTTTTGCCCTAGGTATCTACACCTTATCAGTAAGAGTTCTTGGTAAGTATAATAAAAAATAAAGACAAAAGTCTCTCTCCTCTCTTTCACACGCACACCACATATTTTCTACATCTTCTGAAAATAAGTAGTGGACAGCTGGTACTTCACTGCAAAGACCTCAGCTTATAGTTCTCCTACAAGGCAACATCCTCTCTAACCAAAATGCCGTTCTCACACTCAAGAAATTTAACACTGATGCGACCCTGTGTCTCCTGTCGATCCTCACTCACATTTCTTTCACTATAATCTTCTGTAGCTTTTCCCCTTTTCCATCCAGGGTGAATCAAAGGCCACACTCCACATTTAGCTATCTTTTTTGTCTCTAATGAATGACCATTATCTTTTTTTTCAGTAGGCAAATCCAGTTATTTTGTGAAATGACTTGCCATTTGGATTTGCTTTTTTGTTGTTGTTGGCAGTACTGGGGTTTGAACCCAGGGCCTGTACTTGTCAGGCAGGAGCTCTGCTATTTGAGCCACATTCCCAGCTATTTTTGCCTTGGTTATTTTTGAAACAAGTTCTTGTTTTATGTCCTGGCCAGCCTGAAATGCAATCCTCCTGGTTTTATTTCTGTTTGCCTGGGATGACAGGCATAAGCCATTGTACCCAGCCACTGGTGGAGATGGGATTTCTAGAATGTTTTGCCCAGGTTGGCCTCTAACTACAATCCTCCCGGTCTCTCTCCCAAGTAGTTAGGATTACAGGATTACAGGCTTGAGCCCTCATGCCTATTTCTTTGCTCTTGAAAAAAAAATGATGAAATATTTTTGGTGAGAAGCCTACATGGGTGAGGTTGTCTACTACTTAGCACCTCACATCAGGAAGCACATGACTTCGGTTTATACCATCATGGCAAATCGTAACTTTGTTTTCTGAATGAATGTACTGCCCACCTGTGTTTTCCATTATAAAAGTCTTTTGCCATTAATAAATAATCTACAATGTGATACTTTGCGATTACATGAATACTCTGTATCCCAAATATCTTTTTTTGGGTCAATACTATGGTTTTGAACTCAGGACCCTGCACTTGCAGGCAGGCACTCTACCACTTGAGCCACACCACCAAAGCTCTTTTTGCTTTAGTTCTTTTTGCAAGCAGGGTCTCCCTATTTTTTGCCAGGTCTGGCCTAGACTACGAACCTACTATCTATGCCTCCTGGGTAGCTGGGATGCCAGGCATGCACCACTGCACCTGGCTTGTTGGTTGAGATAGAGTGTTGCTAGTTGTTTTTCCCTGATATGGTCCCCTGATATCTGCCTCCTGAGTAGCTGGAATAACAGGTGTGAGCCACCTGCACCTGGCCCATTACCCAAGTATCTTTTACCCAAAGTTGGAGTAAATATTGATGATTCTGAGTTGAATCAATTATGATATGTTTGTAAAAGTTAAGAAGACCTTTAAGTAGAAAATATATAAAGAACATTTCCTATCCATTATCAGAAAGCAACTGGATAATCTCTTTCACTAGTGTCATAAATATACTTAGATGACGCTCAAATTTTATTGGGAGTATATTATTTTATATAAGCATGCAAGGCAATTCTGTAGCAGAAGAGAACATTTATAAAAGAAATTTAAAAACTCAAATGGCAAAACATTTCAGGCAGTGGAAGGAAATGAACAAGGAAGGCAGCAAAGCAATGGTGTGGATTTGGAGGGTGGCGCCCCCATGTGGATGCAAAGGGTGGGGGTGGGGAGGAAGGCAGTTTCTCAGCTCTGGCCAGCTGTTCTCATGATGCTAGATAACTTAAGAGAATTCAGAGATCTGCAATTTTACAGAAAATTTCCTGGCATTTAGATACTGCCTGCTCATTTAAAAACAAACACTCATAAAATTTGTGCACATTAAATAACAGATGTTACATATGAAATACACATTTAGTTGTAAACCCATTGCAATCATCTCAAAATACTCTCATTAAAACTTTTATATGAATTTATCTTTTCTCCATTAGGAAGAATTAAATTATCAACGAACATGGGGAACCTATTATTAGAGTTTATATATGAATAAGAAAAACATGTTTCCTGCCCCTGTGTAGTTTGCAACCTAGTGAGAAAAGCTATTAAACAAGCCATTTAAGGAGTAGTAAAGGTTTTGAAAGGTTATGAAATGTAAAACAAATGGAATTAATGCAGTTTGAGTCATCATAATATCCCTTCCTGAAGGTAAGCATTTAAATTGAAGTACAAAGGATGAGTGTGCAATGAGAAGGTGAGGAGAGAAGAAGATGCTTCAGATAAAGAAATTATGCAAAGCAATTAGCAAGAGGGTAGAAGATTTTAAACACTAAGAAATTCAGTAAAGTTGGAGTCTAAAATATTGCTCAAAATGAGGACAGAAATGTAGAAGGGACCCAGTGTGTAGTTGGATACTCTTATCATGGAACAGATATCTTGGGCAAACATCTATGTTATTGGATCATTCCAATGGTAAATTGCTAAATCAATTGGAGAGGGGTAAGGAAGTGGGAAAAGAATAAAAATTTGGCTGTTGCATTAAATTAGGGTAGCCATGGTGGCAGAAAAAAAATAGAAAAGAGAATTTGCATGATTCTAAATAAATTAAATGTGTTCATGACCAGAGAAAGGAGAGAGAGGGGTCCAAGATGACTCCCAAGCCTGTAACCTTAACATCTGGGTGGTTGCTGATACAGGGTGAAGTATGAGGAGAAAGTTGTGCTTATGCTGAGTTTGAAGTGCTTGAGAGACGTGATTCTGGAGGTAAACCAATGGCACTTAATAAATAAGTCTAGAGCTTGTGAGAAAAGACTGAGCCAGAGAGTTTGGGGCCATTAGAGTATCACTGGTAGCCTTGGATCTCACCAACAGTAACTATTGGATTAAAAGGGAGTTGTAGCAGAGTCACACTTAGCCAAACATAAATGCACATGTTTTAGTGACAATTGTTCATCTTTCTTTTAGCAGGAATCCCAGCTCCAGTATATTTTGGAGTTCTGATTGACACTTCTTGCCTCAAATGGGGATTTAAAAGCTGTGGAAGTAGAGGCTCCTGCAGACTCTATGATTCAAATGTTTTCAGGTACTATACCAAATACTTTCCCGCACTCTCTGCCACCATATCCCCACTCCGTGCAATTGGAATGACCTTAATATTTCCCCAGGTATGTCTCTGCTTGTAAGGTAAAGCAGCTGAAATGTGTGAGCTGCTTCATAGAATAATTCTATTATTTGGCTAGATATTTGATTTTCCCCCATTCCTAACATCAATTCCCACTTCCAATGAGTGATCATGTCACAAAAATATGATGAAATATTCTAGAACACAAAGTAGTATGTTGAAAGTTCATGCACACAAATGGGTAAGTAATTCCCTGAAACTCAGAAGCATTTGAATTTAGGTCACATTTTGGGTTTAATTCTATTCTTTTTTAAACTAAGCCAAACTGTACCATTTACGTCAGTGATAATCCCCCTTGGCAAGAGTTGGAATTGGCTCTAAATCTGTCCGGCTCTTATTGCCAGGCTGATGCCCAATTATTCCAGTACTTGAGATGAATAAAAGTAAAACATTTCCTCTGTGTGGGTGACTGTGTATGGGGGCAGGGGCACGGCTTTTTCACTATGGTATCATTCAGTTCAGTTCATCAAACGTTTAGTCCCCTTGTTGCTTAAAGTAATGCTTCAGTGGCTTAAAAACAAGAAAGAGGTTTTACTTATTTATTTTTTTTTTTTTTAAAAAAGACTTACAAGCTGAGAATTTTTTAGAGACTTGGTGCTGGACCATCTAAGTTGGATCTGAATTGGGCAGATCATTTGATTTAATAGGCTTTGATGTTATGTGTGAAATTTATTTTGTTCTGAAAGAGACCTGATCTGTGAGTATAATTTGGACTGTACTCGTATTTGCTAAGGCTGTGTTTGGTTGAATGTGGAGAGAATATGCCTCAATGAGAGCCTGGCAGAGTGTTCACACGGTGACCAGAATGAACATTCTATCTGTCCTTTCAGACTAGAGCATCTTCTGACAAAATGTGGATCCAAAGGTAGAAGAAATCGGATTATAATACTGGTTTATTCTGAACTCATTCTGCTTTACTGAGGGCTCCGATGCCCCTCAGTGTTGCTTGTGTAGCTTTTCCATAGAAATGAACTTGGAAAGGGCCTGAGGATAGGGTAACCACATCATTTATCATTCAAACCTGGTCACTTTGGGAAGTGTTAAAATCACCCTGGGGGATGCTAGCACATGCTAGAGCTGCTCTGGTCACCTGGTCCAAGGGACTCATTCACAGAGGACAGAGCTGATTGTGTAATAAATAGTAGCTAAAATGATGGTACTATTAAAAATTGTCTTAAATTAGCAAACTGCCTTCACAGTCTAGCAAGGTTCATAGACAGTCCTGTGACAGCCATCTTTCTATCCAGAGCCATATTCTTCAAGATTACTACCAGAATTTCATGGTTACCTATGTTTATATTTTCTTTCAAGTTGGATATTTGCAACAATAATGACTGAGCTTCCCTCCTCTTCTAGACACTTATACCTGGGTCTAACCTTGACTCTGGGCACAGTGGCCATTTCCCTAGGCACTGCATTACTTTGCATTTTAAAGAAAAATTATGTCTCCACACATAGAAGTTTCATCACCAAGAGAGAAAGAACAATGAGAGCTACAAGATTCAGGAAGGAAACTTGTGCTACAAGCCATCCCTTTCTACAACCCGAGTACTGGCCAGGCAAGGAGACGCGACTTTAGAAAAAAAATGACCAGAAGCCATGTTTTCTAATGTGTGAAGAATTCTGCAAGCAAACAAACTTTTAATCAAAAGGTTTTCAGTGTGCACAATTTCTTCTTTCAAAAAATTTCCACTTCGTTTGGACCTTAGGCATTAGAAAATATGTGTGTAATAAATATCACTAAGCATATAATAGAAGATGCAGATGGCAAAACTAGTTTCAAAGCTTTTAATTTATATATAAGCTCCTTGTATTATTTACTTATTCTGCTGTATTTTGTCCATTGATACATAAGTTGTATCTCTAAGACAACGATCGCTTTTGTCATCTAATGATTATATGTACAGTAATTGCCATCTTTAGTAACTATTGTTCAAAGACTAAGTCACATCTTGGGTTTCTTCCAGTATCTCCTTAATGGTAATGTTATAGTGGAGTCAGAACACGGAGAGGGGGATTTCATCTTTAGTTCCTCCTTTCCTTTGAAATGCAGTCATTGATACAGAAATGTGTTGTGGCAAAGTGGTCTTGGGGGATGGGAATGTTGGACTATTACTTCCTTTGCTAATCATTTACATATCTTTTTGTGTGACACTATAAGTGACCATGGTTGTAAAGTAATAAAACTAATGTTGACATGCTTTATTGTCCTATGAATTCAATGGATTAAAAATATTATTAAATAAATGCTGCCCCTGTTTTAATGTAGACAATTCTCTTATGTACATGTTGCCTTCCTAAAACGTGTTTGGAAGTTGAATTTCTGAAAATCTACAATAAACCCAGGTGCTGTAAACAAAAAGGAGAATGATGGGTTGAGTGACAGTAAGGTTGAGTATGGTGACTTTTGGTAAGTACATGCCACTTGTCACAAGGCCTAATAACTCCTGAACAGGAGGTTGCTACTGGTACAACCTGAAAGATAGCTCTATTTCTTGGGAACTGGAAAACTCAGTCCAGATGTTCTCTCTCTCCAGGCTTGTTGGTGTTCCTCTGACTGGGGTTCATAGTTTCAAAAGAGCTTCCTCTTGAATCTGCAGCTCCATTATGTACTGTGCTCTTCTTCCTCCATAACAGTTTTAAACACAAGTCTGATCTCCAGGAAAAGCTGACTTAAGACAGAGACCACCCTAAGTAAAACATCCTATTCAGTTACAGCCAGCTCACAATCCAATGTTATCTGCATTTCCATAAGTCCTATAGAATCTGGAGAAGATCATGTAGAGGGAAAGGCTAAGCTAAGAAAGGAAAGCAGAAGTGTATTGGGAGTGAGGCCAGGAGGTGCCTCAAATACAAGAGGAGGACCCTAATTTATGAAGGAGATTTTCAAAGTCAGGATGCGGATCCATATTGTACTCTGTTCCAGCCACCCTAGAAACTGTGTCAGTCTTTATCACATTTATGGCATGAGAATCGCCATTTAACAGGCAAAGCAAAGGCCAATAGAGGTAAGATACATTGCTTAGTCTTGGGTAGGCATGACCAGAATTAAACCCAGCCCTACTTTTAAAATTGTCTTTGTGCCATCCTGACCCAACAATGTGTTCTAAATGAATTGCTCCTGTTATTTGTTTTTATTTTTTTGTGGTACTGTGGTTTGAACTCAGGGCCTCACACTTGCTAGGCAGGCGCTCTACCACACTCCACCAGCCCTGCTCCTGTTATTTGTAATGTCTTTGCATTACTTTATTGCACTAGATCAGTTTGCTTGGGTAGTCATCTTTAATATATTTCAATATATGGAGATAATCAACAAATATTATTTAAAAACAACTTATCATGTTTGTTTCTTCAAATGTTTTGACTTATAGTTTCAAAAGTTAGACTTTTAACAGATAAATCCTAAACATGCTGTTTAAACTTAAGTCAGATGATCAAGGGCAATCATTTAGAATTTGGAGATTTGTAATTACAACACAATTCTTAGTAGCCTTTAGAAAATCAACACAGGCTGGGTATTGTGGCCCATGTCTATACTCCCAGCTACTTAGGAAACAGAGATAAGAAGATTGTGGTCTGTACAATAAATAAAGCAAAATGGGCTGGAGATGTGTCTCACGTGGTAGAATGATGATCTGGCAAGCATGAGACCCTGAGTTCAAACCCCAGTACCACCAAAAGACAGAAGAAAAAAATTAAAAAAAGCAAAGAAAAGGCAATGCATAAAAGGACATCCCCAACAAAAACATCTATTTGAGGCACTTCTTAAGCTTAAATCCACAAAGAAGGACTACGTTAAAAATGCAGTGGCCTTCTTATTACAGAGAAGCAATCAAGTAGTATAAACAGAATTGTTTGCAGTCGTTTAATTTCCCCTTTATGCACAAGTTATGCAAATACAAATGGGAAAAAATGGAAAGTTTGAGGAGGATATAATATGGGCATGCATATTCATGTATCTATATATTTGTCACTTTATTTGAATTGTTGGTGATCAATTATTTCATATTTTGCTGGTTTTGAAAGCAAAAAGAGAGCTGTTTTGTTTCTAGCAGGATGACTTTAGTCCCACTACTCTCTGCTCATTTGTGGGCAGAGATCTTTTTTGTCATGTCCATATCAGTCTCACCCATAACAAGTATTTACTGATTGGTTGGATGAGTACACTTGTCAAGAGTTTTCTTTACAGATGTAATTCAAATTCAAATTCCTCTCCTTGTCTCCCACATTCTCTTTAATTTTCTAAGCTTTTTATAGCAATCTGAAAAATAACTTCTTTGGAAGTAAATTTCTAAACAGAATCCTGTCCAATTTACTCTTGAATGACTTGAAAAATATGAATCAGCATAGAGGATGATAGATGATGGTCTCTTTCATAAAAAGACTGAATGCCTTAATTAAAATGATGCATTTTTATGCATAACCATTGATTCAACAGTGGAATGACGTACACTAAACTCAGCTGGATGGACTATGAAAGTATTATTTAGTGGGGAATTGAACTGACTAAAAGGAACCCTAATATTTTCACTAAGTCTCATCTGACAAGACGTAACCAGAAAGCACAAGATTAAATTCTTTTTAAACAAACTCAACCCCATTGCAGAGGTCAGAAATTTCCCTCCATCTGAGGGCCAAACATCAGTGGCAAGACCTTGGCTAACCTGTGGGATTCCATGATTGCTGTATGTTCAATGAGCAAGAAGAGTATTCTTACTCTATAGCCATGGTCCCTAGAGGAGACCAGCATTTCCAGTGAATGTATGGTTCACTCTAGACTTCAACAGGTAAAGTTCCAGGATGTCATTTTACAGATAGAGTGAATAAATTAAGTTAAATGACCTGCCCAAGGTGGAGATAGGCAAACTAATGATGGTTTTCTGTTACATTCCGATGGCTCCAAAGAAGATAGTAAAAAGGAACAATTCCTGGAGGACTAAGACACTGTAACATGTCCTTGAGAAGGTTGTCATTTTCTTGTAATTGTACAACTATTAAATATAACAATTCAAATCAAGCACTCTGCTGGTGACCTGAGCGTTTTAGACATTCTGAGCTGCACAGGTCAAAACAATTTTCTGTGTTACGTACTATCACTGGTATTTTCAAAGAAAGATACAAAGGCTTTTAGTGATTCGCCCATAGCCAGCAAGTTCTTAGCAATTGGTAGAACCAAGATTTAAACTAAGGTTTATAAGATCCAAGCAGTTATGTTGTGCCTGAAGTAACCTACACACCAAGTCACTGGTTGTCAGCAACTCCACTAAAATCAATTTTGTACATCCAAATTAGAAACGTTTTTGCATTCTAAAATATGCACACAGTTATTGGGACACAAATGCGAAAGAGGGAGGGTTTGAGGGGGACTTACAGGAAGGAGGCAGGAGGGGAAAGGAAAGGATACTGAGTGGGGAAGAGGACTGAGGTACAGTACACGTATATGCTCAATGACAGCATAATGAAACCCAGCAAACACCATATAAAAGAGGGGAGGAGAGAGAGGGAATACAAAGAGGGTAAGGTTGTGTACGTATGTGCGAAACTTGTGTATATGCGTATGGAAATACCACAATGAAACACTTATGTATTATTAATGTATACTAATTCAAAATATAATAAAACAAAAACCAAATGATACAAAAAGATTTAAAATGAGAGGGTAATGGTATTTACCACTCTTTCACTCCTGTTCTGCAAAGGTCTTATTTATTTTTCAATTAGGACATTTATTGAGAGTTTTTTAAGCCAATGAAACCATCAACTTGTAATAATATCTAGATTTTGAAAATACAGTGTGTTCTTTGATGATAGAGGAAAATAATGTAAATATATTTACCAAACCAAACTAATAAGTCATACTGTTCACATCTTTTGATTCTTATTTTCCTTTCAGTTTTCTCTATGAAGATTTGAGAGTAGCAATGTTATACTCTTCCAATATGTTTTTGTGACTTGTTTACATAAAAAATTTTAATGTGGAATTTAATGTAGTGTTATATAACTATTCTATCATTATAATAGATATAAACAGCTTTATTTAAAAAAAATCATGATTACTAATTTTTTCTTTGATTTTTTTGTGTTTTGGAGGTTGAACCCAGGGCCTTTTGCTCGCTAGTAAGTTACTCTACCACATGAGCCATACCTTCAGTCCTCTACTTTTAAAGAAACTTAGTTGTAAGCTGATGTTTATTTTTACTTCTGTTGTTGTTTATTGAATTTTTTTTATGTTTTCTTATCCTTTTATTATGTCATATGTTTTTGATTTTTTATTATTTGCTAGTAATATAAGAATTATAATCACTTTAGCAATCTGAAAGTTACTCCACAGTTGTATTTTCAAAACTAATAAAAACATATATTAAAAAATCATATATGTATGTGTGTGTGTACACATATTTCTCCACTTGGCATGCCAAAAACAAAACAACAACTGTTGTCTACTGACTCCCTTTGTGCAAAATCAAAATTTTTAAATGTTTTTACATCCTGTCTCCTCTTCTACTTACAATTCTAAGATTTTTTTTGCTACTATAGCCAAGAACTTAAGACAAATTTATTAACAAATTACTTTTACTTTATATGTTTTCTTCTTGCTATACAAACAAATCTACAAAGAATGTTTTATGCATGGATCTTTTCCTCTGTCTTTACTTATGTCATTTATGTCAATGAAAACATGACCTATCAGACCTATGGGACACAGCAAAGACAGTCCTAAGAGGAAAGTTTATAGCCATGAGTGCATATATTAAAAGGACAGAAAGATCTCAAATCAATAACCTAATACTACAGCTCAAACTCCTAGAAAACAAGAACAAGCAAATCCCAAAACAAGC